TATAATAGCCAAGCTATGGAACCAACCTAGGTGCCTTTCAATGGTTTAATGGATACAAAAAATTTTGTATACACAATGCAATATTACTCAGCCATAAGAAAGAATGAAATTTTGGCATTTGCCGGTAAATGGATGGAATGGGAGACTGTCATACTAAGTGAAATAAGCCAGTCCAAAAAATCAAAGACCTGTCTGATATGTGGATGCCAATCCACAACTGGGGAGGGTATGGAGGGGAAGAATAGAAGTCCATTGGATTAGACAAAGGGGAATGAAGGGAAGGGAGGGAGGATGGAAATAGGAAAGACAATAGAATGAATTGGACATAACTTTCCTATGCTCGTACATGAATACATGACCAGTGTAACTCCACATAGCGTACAAACACAAGAATGGAATCCCAATTAAAATAAGTTATATTCCTTGAATGTATAATATGTCAAAATACACTCTACTGTCAGGTATAACTAAAAAGAACAAATAAAAAAATTAAAAAACTGCTAATAACATAAAAAGAAAGAAAACTGGACATTATGCATCTCCAGACAAAACATGCAAGTGTGTGAGAAATAGTATTTCAAAATAAAATAAAGCAAAACTGAATTTGATCAGGTCTCTGATTCTGTTTAAGAACAAAAATGTTTTTTTTTTTTTTTGAAAAATAAAGAGGATAGAGTAACCCATTAGACAATATGTGTTAGACAATAAAGCATAAACTTTAGGGAAATTTAAGCCATATAATTCATTTGCATCATTAACAAATGAATTCTAAGAAAAACAAAAGATGGGTGAAGGAAGTGGGAAACAGATGTTAGGAAATCTATTAATCAATTGCAATGTGTGAACTTATTTGGATCTTGATTGAAACAAAGTGTAAAATACTCTATATAATATTTATGGGTCACTTAGAAACATGAGCATTAACTAAAGATTTATGATATTATGGAGCTATAGTTAATTATTTTCAGGTTTGATAATTGTATTATATCATGTTTTTATAAAAGATGTCTTTATTTTTTTGAAATAATTCTGAAATACTTGTGGGTGAAATGATATGATGTCTGGGATTTGCTATGAGAAAATATGGGACGTGGGTGAGGGTAAAGCTCAGACAAGAGTGAACATGAAGTTGATCATTGCTGACGCAATGGTGTATTATGCTATTTGATGAACATAATACAAAATTGAGAAAAAAGGGCAGAACTGTGATTCTAGCACAGATGGAATATTTTGCTAGTAGGACATAAGGACAGAGTCTGAGTTTATAAAAAGCTACAGGCTTCCTGTTCAGTGGTCAGTTCAGACAGTCAGTTTCTGCTGGATTAAGATTCTCATATGAGGCCCAAGATAACGGATTCTTTTTTGACAGGCAGTAAAGAAAATGTGATTTAGGGTGGTGTTTCTACAAGCTGTAATTTAAAAGAAAAAAGGGAAACACTGGAGCTTTTATTATTGCTATTTTCTTCAAAAAAGATTTACATTTTCATCTTATTCAGAGACAATTTATTCAATGTCAATCAGCATGAGCAGCCAAACTGAGCATCACAGCATTATTTTTGCTTCAGGGAAAAGAGAAAAAGAGTAGTGCCACTCAAATAAATTACAGCAGAAACTTATGAATGACAAGAAGCTCTGCTTTAGTTCCAGACTTCAGACATCTAAATATGCCCCAAGGAAGTTACCGTTAAAAACCAAAAATTTTGTCTTCTCAAAATGTATTAATTTATTTTGACAGGTATATTCCCAACAAAATTCCAAAGTATATAGAAATGATACCTGAGCTTTAATTTTTTTTTTTTTTTGTAGAATGGTGTGACATGGAACTTTACTGCTTTTTTCAATTTGATAATACAGAGTTGCAGAACCAGAAGATTGTTCTGTTGAGTGAATTGTGATGTTTCTCATTTTGGGCTATGGGAAGTCATCAGTTTCTATACAATTTCCTAAACCAATGCTTTTTTTTTTTTTTTTTTTTTTTTTGGTGAGGGGTACTGGGGATTGAACTAAGTTATATCTCCAGTCATTTTAATTTTTTGTTTTGAGACAGAGTCTCACTCAGTTGCTGAGGGTTTTGCTAAAGTTGCTGCGGCTAGCCTCAAACTTGTGATCCTCTGCCTCAGCCTCTTGAGTTGCTGGGATTACAGGTGTCCCATTTATATGCAAACACACACACAAAATAATTTGTCTTGATTACACCTTGCTTGTATCTTTAAAATGTATAATTTTTGAAAAATTAATGAATATTTTTTATAGTAGTTTTAGGTTCAGAGCAAAATGAAGTGAAAGCACAGGGAGTTCCCATATCATCCCTCTCCCCTGCCTCCTACACAATCTCCCTCACATATCACAGTGCCACATTTGTCACAATTGAAGCTACACTGACACATCACAACCACCCAATGTCCCTCTTATCCCTGTCATTTGTTTCATTTACATAGAAGCAAATATTTGATAATTATTTGTTATGTGTTTATAATTGAGTATATTGTTGCCATTATTATTTTGAACATATATTAGATAATTAAAAATGAGAAAAATAAAAGTTTTTGTTTTATCGTCACTATTTATTCCCAATGTGCTTCCTTTACATAGACCTACGTTTCTATTTCATTTTCCTTCTCTCCCAAGAAGTTCACTTAATATTTCTGCAAAGCAAGCCTACTGGAAACACATTCAATAAAATCATAAAAGATTTAAATTCTCCTTCACTTTTAAAGGATGATTTCACAAATTATAGAATTTTAGGTTGGGTTTTTTTTTCTCCCCTCAATACTTTATAAATTTCACGTTATTCTCTTTTTTGCTTGCATAGTTTCTGAGGAGCAGTCAGATTTAATTCTCATCTTTGCTCCCTCTCTGGCTTCTTCCAAGAATTTTTCTTTATATTTTTATTTTCTCAAGTCTGAATCTGATTTTCCTAGCTATAGTTATTCTGGGGGAACTATTCTGGTTGGTGTTCTCTGGGCTTCCTGGATTGTGGTTTGGTAATGACATGGATTGGGGAAAATTCTTGGTTCCTGTTGCTTTAAGTATTGTTTGTGTTCCTTTCTTTCCTCTCCTTCTGATAATCCTATTACAAGTATTTACACATTTGTAGTTGTCCCACAGTTCTTGGCTATTCTGTTCTGTTTCTTTAAAATTTTTTTTTTTCACTTCTGAAAATTTCTATGTTTACATCCTCAAACTCAAAGATTCTTTCCTCAGTGAATCATTAGCCCACCAAGGCATTCTTCTATTCTGATATATACATATAGCTCTATATAGCATTTCATTTTCACTTTTTTCTTAGACTCTCCATCTGTCTTTTGCCTTTTAGTATGCCTTGTAATGTTTTTGTTGAAAGGTGGACATAATGTACTTGGAAAAAGGAATTGCAGGAAACAGGCCTCTAGTAAGATGGTGGAAAGTATGAGTGAAAGGGAGTGTCCACATCCTATGACTTGGCCTCAGTCTTTAAATGATCCGTCCTGTGCCTCTGGACTGTGGCCCTCATCAGTGAGAGCTTCTCAGGTGTTTTTCTCTCCTCAGTGTGATAGAACAGCTGGAGAGTGCTGGAGCCGGGTAGTTCCCTTCCCTCTCAGGTAGGTTATGCTCTGATTAAACTCAAGCAGGTCAGGCTCTGGTGAGACTCTGTTAACAGAATGTTGTGGTGTATTTAAAAAAGGTTCCAGGCTGGGCATAGTGGCACATGCCTGTGATCCCAGCAGCTTGGAAGGCTGAGACAGGAGGATTATGAGTTCAAAGACAGATTCAGTAATGGGGAGTTGCAAAGCAACTCAGTGAGACCCTATCTCTAAATAAATACCAAATAGAGCTATGGATGTGGCTCAATGGTTGAGTGACCCTGAGTTCAATTCCCAGTACCCCCCCCAGAAAAAATAGAGGTTCTTTTCCTTCTCCTTCTGGTGAAAGCATGAGGAAAATTTTCTCTGATCCTCACTGTGAGGACCTGTTACAGTTTCAAGAGGAGGAACCTGTGAAAGTGTGTGTGAGCCTCCTGGGACCCGGGCCCTCCTGGAGTTTTACTCTCAGAGTTGTCTACACTGAGCCTCCAGCAACTTCATCCATTGCGGTTCAGGATTTCTAAGCCCAGCACTGGATTGAGTGGAGGTTTCTGCTGGTCAGTTTCTCTTCCAGTAAGTTGTGATCTCTGTATCCTCTGTCTCTCTCTCCAATTTGGGGGCAGTGGTTTGCTCTGTGATCTCATGTCTTTGGTGACTCTAAGAAGAATTTTGGTTTCTCAGTTTGTTCAGCTCTTTGCTTGTTAGGATGGCATGGCAACTTCTAAACTTCTTACATGCGGGGCTGGGAATTGGAAGTCTTCGAAAAGTACAGGTACTTAAACCATGTGTTCAACAGAGAAACTGTAAACGGATTTTCTTTGATCTCTCTTTTCTTTCTTTTAACCTCAGGAAGTCTAGGGAATCTTTTTTAAACAGTTAAATCTGGCTCATAAATGTTGAGGAAATATAAGCGTGTGGACAACAATCAAACCCTCCTGTAGGGTCCTGGGATTTTCCAGGGTGCTCACCTTGGTGGCTGGTCCAGCACAGAGGAGGCCCCACATCTTAGAATGTATGAGTGAGGAATCCTAACAGGATAACCATGATATTATATTCTGTGTAGCTTTAGAAAAAATTCTACACATTCTTTCTCTGCAGTAAGAGCTAGTATTTATGATTTACAGTGCAGCAGGAACTGTGTAATATTTCATTTAGTCCTCAGAGTAATTCTGTAGATACTATTGCTATCCTTAAAAATGAGGAAACATATGGAGAGATTAAGTGACTTCCCCAAATCATACAGCTGCATGTGGACTCTATGTTAGAAACTGACTATATGTTACCTCCTGCAAACGGGTGATCATTTTAGTTAACATTGGCAGTAAGAAAACATTAAGGAAGACTCAAAAGAGGTGACCAAGGGGTGGAAGGGATTTGGAACCAATAAAAGAGAAGAAAAAGTGAGGGAGAGTAGGTGCTGCAGCCCTCTCTACTCACGGGGCTGATGTGCGTTCCAGTGCGTGTACTGCACCAACTCAGACTTCTGTCCTGTGGTCTTCCAAGTGTATTCTCCTGTGTCATTTTGGTCTTGCAGAGAGATCCAAAAATAACTGTCCTTTGTTTTCACCACACTACTGATCAAACTGGTAATAAAAGCCTGTTCAAACCTTGAAAAGGGGAAAAGGAAATGGTTATATTACGTTTCTAGGCAATAAAAAAATCTCATTAAAACATAATGAAGTGCACAGAATGGCACCAGAGTAAGCATTTCTTGCTAATTCTTTAGAACACGGAGCAGGAAAATACACAGACACTGAACATTACTAATAAATGCCAAATGTCAGTGTAATTTCCAGAAATACATGAGGAGAATTTCATTCTTATAGACTTTTATAACTGTGTGTTAGTCAGCCTTTTATCATTGTGACCAAAATAAACAGCCAGAATAACTTAGAGGAATAAAAGTTTATTTTGGCTCATGGTTTCAGAGGTTCAGCTCATGGTTGACCGATACCATTGCTCTGGGCCTCCAGGGTGAGGCAGAACATCATGGCAGAGGTGTGATGGAGGCATGATGGATAGAGTCTGTTCATGGTGGCCAGGAAGCACAGAGTGGTAAGGGACACAGGGAATGAAGCCTTCCAGCACCTCCGCCCCCTAGTGACCCACCTCCTCCAGCCATGCCCCATCCTCCTAGAGTTACCACCCAGTTAGTTCATCAAACGAGGATAGCCTGATTAGATTACAGCCCTCATAATCTAATCATTTCACCTACTGCATTAACATAAGAGCTTTTGGGGAGAATCTCATATTCAAATTGTTAACCAAACTGTTTCAAGGAACAGAGGCTGACTTTGGTTTCAGAGTGTAGGTGGGAAAGTCCATGTAGCGAACCATACATTTCTTAGAGTAAGATGGGGCCTGTTTTGTGTTTAGACCACATACCACACACCATGCCATAATGTGCAGGGAGGTAGGGGCTGGCAGGAGAGAGGAGGAAGAATAGTACATTTTTCTGAATGAGCGTTTAACACTACATAGCTCACACACACCCACTCACCACACTTGCTTGGTGAGAAAAAAATATGAGTAGTAACTGTGTGTCTCCCTAATCAGTTTGTTCACAGGCACATGGAGTTCTTGGCTTATTCAAATGTGCATTTTCACTGATGATAAATTCAAGCAGAAGGAGCTACTACAAGCCAGTACATCCACTAGCATTTTCCCCAAACAGCTGAATGAATTAGTGTTCAATGATTGGTGGCAATTCTTCCTTTCCAACATGAATACATTCACACAGAAAACGCCAATGCATACCTGATAAGAATTTAAAGCTAAATTTGAAACTGTCTTGAGAAATCTATTTTCAAAATATATAAAGTTAGAAGAAATTTCCAACAGTGGTGACTTCTGGCCAGCTCTGCTGAGTCAATGGGAAATGAAGTCCTGATGAAGTTACCCAGGAACACAATGAGAAAGCAAATTAGACTTTTAAAATACTATTTGGATTTTAAAAATTTCCATGCATTCTTAACTTGCTAAGGGAAGTGAAAGCAATGGAATCGTTGGAAAACAGAGGTGTCACAAAGGAAATAAGGTGGGCGGGGGAAGAACAGAAAGAAGTAAAATTTGAAGTGACACCACTAGAAATGTTTAGTGACTAAAAACATCCGTGGTATGCATCTTTGCAGAGCTCATGGATTTTCTTCAAGCTTTAGTAAATATTTTCTGCAAATACTTTATTAACAGTCTAAATCGCACCCATTTGAAGTTAGACAAATTCTTTTGTAATTACACACAGGGGCAGAACCTTACATAAATGTGCTTCACAAAGAAGGTATATCAAGCTGAATGCTGCCTGGATGCTGTCATAATTTTCCTTATACTTTGTTGGTTTGTGTGTCATAACATATGGCCTGCATTCCTGATCCCTCCGAGGCAGCATGGCATAGTTATTGTCCCCACGTGGTGCCTGAAATTGCTGTGTTAGAGGCCAGCAAGGTACTGTGCACCACGGGTGCGATGATCAGGCACTGCTTGTTGTGCCGGTGTTTAGTCTGGGGGTGTTGTTGGTTTTCCCATTACCTTATACTGTGGCATTTATCAGATAATGCAGGGAAATGACCTTGTCTGTGAACTTGGCCTTGGGTATCATTATTCATGACAACATATTGCTTGTGTCCCCTGTTGGTTGTAGATTTATTTAGTCCCCTTTGATTTGTTATTTTATTTCTATTTATCATTGCTTGAAATAATAGAAACCTTCCGCTTTTTGAACTGGCAAGTGTATTTTTTGAAGCAGTGTATATAATACTCATACATTAAATCCTAAAGCCTTCAAGTCAAAACAAGACTGGTTTTCTTGATCCAGTTTTAAAAGGTAAAGAAATGTAACAAATGTGTCTTTCTTCTAAACAATAAAAAAAAAAACTAAAAAAAAAATTCTTTTTTTCTAAACAATATGAAGATATTAAATCTGGATAATATCTTCGAGTATCAATTTCCAGCTGGTGAAGAAGCAAGAGGTCATTTTATATTCTTTACCACTCACTATTTCAAAAACACTGATAGGGTAAAAAAAACTCTGCCTTACTGTAATATAGAAGATAATCTTTCAGAGGCTTTTCTAACCCTGTGTTTTAGAATTATTCATAAGAGAACATTCCAGAGTTATGTATTATCTGGTCTTTTTGTCTGATTTGCTGAGCTTGTTTAATTCAAATGTTGTTGGGATTTAAGGAAACAAAAATAACCAAATATAATGTACAATCTTCTGTATTATTATTTGAACCAGGATAGCAGGCTATCTCTAGGAACTGAGTAAAGTAAAAACTATTTGTCATCTTAAAAAAAAGTGGTAAAATATTTTGCTTATGTGCACCTACTTATAAAATCAAATATTCTAGGAGAATAATTCTTGCAATCAGAAAGAAATTGACTTTTCCAATTAATGCTTTAGAAAAAGTTAAGAAATCACTTGTGTTTTCAATGTAAACAAGAAAAATACATCTTGAAGTTCCATTATGTTTGCAAAAAAATTGTTCACGGTGCTAAACATTACATTTTCATTTAAAAATGCAATTTAAAGATAGCAACATATTTTTAATATGCATTGATAAATTTTTTCATTTCAGAATAAGCATTTTGCACTTTAAAAGTACATACTTTAAGAGGAGGTACTTTTTACTTAATATATAAGTGAACATTATGTTTCTTCATCAGTCTAGCAGTGATGGCTAACTGGAAAAAATTTGGCATGTAATTGGAAAAAAGGTTTCTTGTCTATGAACAACACAGCACGTAGCAGACAGCAGCACTATAATGATTGTGTTTGTATTATCCAAAATGAATTAAAAACAAAAGTAACACATAGAAAGTATAGCTTTACTTGTTAGCAAATGAAATTTAAAAAATAGTGGTTGTGTGTGTGTGTGTGTGTGTGAGAGAGAGAAAAGTTGAAGATTTCACTGGAAAGACTTGGTTTTGAACTGAGTAACTGCAATTTGCTTTCTCCCAATTACACAATTATCAACATTTTCTATGCCATTTGAAATAACAGACTTTGTTGTTGAAAAATATAAAAATGATCAGCTTCTTTTTCCTTCTTGTAAATGAAGAATGGAAATAGACTATCAATAGTTTTAAGATGGAGACACGCACCATGATCATTGTTGTCACAAATTTCTAGTGGCCTCCTGTAATAACCAGGAATGTTAAATTTTTGAAAATTGTTTCTTGAAAACTATTAGAAAACAAATGTAGAATTAAAAAACATACTTAATATATACAGAAGAAATAAACCTAGAAGAACAAATTCCAAGCTGTTAGTGGTGGTTCCTTTTGGGGAAGAGAAGAGAATAGACAGTAGGTGAAGGAGCACTGTCACTTTTTAGTCTATATTCTTGGTGTTTAATTTTTACTAATGAGAGTTTTTTTATTGTCTTATTTTAAAGTGGATAACTAAGATGTGACTTTAAAAAAATAGAACTAATAAATGAAGTCAGCAAAGTTACAGCATACAAAATCAACACACAAAAGTGAGCTGTGTTCTATAACAATGGATAGTCCAAAAAAGGAAATTAGGAAAACAATTGCATTTAGGATAGCACCTGACAGAATGACATACTTAAGAATAAAGTCAGCCAAAGAGGAGAACGTCTTGTACACTGAGAATTGCAAAGTGCTGATGAAAGAAATTAAAAACACAAATAAACAGAAAGACATTCCCATGTTCATGGCTTGGAAGGATTACTATTATTACTATGTCCATATTATCCCAAATGATCTATGTATTCAAAATAATCCCTATCAAAATCCCAGTGATTATATATATTATATTAATATATATCCTACACACACACACACACACACACATATATATGTATAATTTTTCTTTTCAGAAATAGAAGTAATCCTGAATTTCATATGGAATTTCAAGGGAACTTGAATAGCTGAAAGAATAAAAAAGAACAAAGTTGGAGGTCTCACTCTTTTTGATTTCAAAACTTATTACAATTAGAATCCAAATAAAGTCTATACTATATTTAAAAAAAACATACTACTAAGTTCAGTAATCAAAACTGTGGTACTGACACAAAGACTGACATATAGATCAATGGACAGAAAGCCCAGAGAAAACTCTTGCATATATGGTCACATGATTTTCAACAAGGGTTCAAGACTATTCATGGAGAAGGTCGGTCTTTTCAATAAATTGTGTTGGGAAAACTGGATGTACATTTGCAAAAGAATGAATTGGATTCCTATACCATTAAAAAAAAAGAACTCAAAGTTAATTAAAAACTTAAACATAAAACCTAAAAATTTAAAACTCTTAGAAGAAAATGTAGGGAAAAATTTTGTGATATTGTATATTGTTGTGACACACGACTAAACCAGTCAGGGTCACTCCAGGTGAACTGGGCTGGCACGAAATAATCACACAGAGACAGAGAGATACCTTTTTCTTTGGGTTCTTTGACAACTCCTCTGACCCAGATCCCACAAAAGAGGCAAGTGAGGCATGAAAGAGAATGAGCATGCCTGGAACCCTATTTTATTGGGGAGAAGCAGTCCAAACGAGGCAAGGGGTAGGATTACAAAGGAACAGGTGAGTGTAACTCAACCCCACTGGGTAACGCCCACTCCTGGAGCCAGGCCTCATTATCCAAGTGGAGGTAAAGTTATTGCGGGGCACAACAATGCTCAGTATCTCTTGCTTAGGACTTAAGGGTGTGTATTTCCAGACCGGTTCCTGACAGTATATGGCAATTATATCTTGGAAATGACATCAAAAGTGTAGAAAATAAAATAAGATATGGACAAATTTGGCTTCATCAAAATGAAAAACTTTTGTGCATTAAAAGCCTATATAGTGAGAAGGCAACCTACAGAATGGGAGAAAATATTTTCAAATATATATCTGATATAGGATTAATATACAGAATATATAAATGACTTCTATAGTTAAATGACAGAAAAACAAACACCCCAATTAAGAAATGAGCAAAATATATGAATAGAAGTGTCTCTAAATAAGATATACGGATGGCCAATATTGAAATGATGCTCATGCAGGGAAATGCAATCAAAGCCTCCATGAAATACCATGTCATATCTAGTAGCATGGCTATTATCAAATGCAACAAAACAACTAGAGAATAACAAATTGGCCAGAGTGTGGTGACTTTGGAACTCTGTGCATCCACTTGTACCCTGGTGGGAGTGTAAAATGGTGCTGCCACTATGGAAAACAGTATGGCACTTCCTCAAAAAATTAAAAATGGAATTATCATATGACCTGGGGATTTTATTTCTGAGTAAAAGCAGGAACTTGAATTTATATATTCATGTTCAAGGTAGCATTATTTATAATTGTCAAAAGGTGAAAGCAACCCAAATAATTACTGATGGACAAATGGGTCAACAAAATGTGGTATATACATATCAGGCTACCTTACCCTTAAAAACAAAGGAAATTCTGATGTATGCTGCAACATGTGTAAACCATGATGGCATTATTCTAAGTAAAATGAGCCAGAGTCAAAAGGAAAAATGCTCTATAATTTCACTTACATGAGGAATCTAGAGTGGTCAAACTTACTGTGACAGAAAATAGAACAGTAGTTGTCAGGAGTTGGTGGTAAGGGGGAAATGGGAGTTTTTTTTTTTTTTTTTTTTTTTAATGAGTACAGAGTTTCAATATGAGATGATGAAAAAACTCTGGAGATGGAGATGGTGGTAGCTGTACCACAATGTGAATGCACTTAACGCCATTGAATGATACACTTAAAATGGTTTATATGGTAAATTTTATGCTATGTATATTTTACCCCCCCAACACACAAAAGTTAACTGCCAGGGTGTTTTGGATATGGCAGTTGCAGGAAAATGGCAAAACTTTAAAAATACTTGAGTATAATGCATATTTAAACAGAAAAAAGTGAGACATTGCAGGATTTTTCTCTCTGGGCAAGCTTCACAAAATCAAATATCATTTGTATTATTTTTTTGCTAAATATTCCATAGCCAATTGATCAAGATTTCAACATACAAGCACCTAGACAATTATCTATGGTAACTTTGGAATTGGAGTTTTGCATTCCTGCTCTGATTAGCAGCAAAGTCACTGGGCCTGAAAAGGTTTTGTAATAGTACACCAGTAAATAAAAATCTGTTACTTAGTAATAAGGGTCTGTTTTTCTGACTTTCTCTATTCCACAAAGTGTTAAAAAGTCCTAGAGCAAGAGTGGTTGCTGGATAACAAAAGAAATAAGTAATTTGTAGCAGGTGGTTCTAATTGTGCCCATCAAACCTGTCACTCAATTGTGCAGAAGAGTGGAAAATCAATTAGCAACTACAAGCCTGGGTGCTGAAGAGTGACAGCAGTGTCTTAACTCAAACAGGAAATCAGTAATGGAAGAAAATGATTACCAAGGCTAGTGGATGCCTCTGGGTCTGAGGAGGCTTTCCATCTACCGTCCAGCCTTCTCAGACAGAAGATACTGCTGGAAAACATTCCAACATGTGTGTTACTCAAAGAGCAGTTTATTGCCTCATGGGGTCTGAATGGATAAAGACCAAGAGCCCAGCGTTCTTCCTTTTTCCAACATCCTGCTTTGGATGTGGTCTTGCCATGTAGTGCACTTATTGCTAACTGACCTGGAAGGGCTACATTTGCTCAGAGGTGGTCCTGCAGGTGTGGTTAGCAACTGGGCTGGTGGTCAGTACAAGGCAACTTGGACAGGCCTAGGTAGCTGAAATAGGGATTAAAACCAAATTTACCTCTGCCGTAGTTTTGCTTCAGAGTTGGAACACACATGAGTGTGGGCTACTGAATGTAGTTAAGCAAAGAAAAAAATCATGTTCACAACGTACACTTGTATCCAGTTTTGGGGAAACAAAACAGATTTTTCCCCCAGACACTTTTCATCATCTGTATGAGGTCCCCAAAGCATTGGTAGAATATGAAGCATCTGAACCCTAAGGCTGATTTCTGCCCTAGGGTCACTTTGGCACTGTGAACAATCTATAATGTGACTTTGAGTTCATCACTTTGTCCTGTTACTCCATCTTCTTCATTTGTTCCACATGTCTGTGTTCTCTTTCGTCAGCTGCTGTATTGCAAAAGGCACTGGACAATTATGTTATTTATCTATCGATCGATCAATCCATCGATCTACCTACCTACCTATCTAATATCTTGTTGTTGTTTTTTTTTTTTTAGTGTAGACTTTCACTTTTTTCTTTTTTTTTCCTTTAATTTTTATTGTTGGTTGTTCAAAACATTACATAGTTCTTGACATACCATATTTCACACTTTGATTCAAGTGGGTTATGAACTCCCATTTTTACCCCGTATACAGATTGCAGCATCACATCGGTTACACATCCACTGTTTTACATATTGCTATACTAGTGTCTGTTGTATTCTGCTGCCTTTCCTATCCTCTACTATCCCCCATCCCCTCCCCTCCCATCTTCTCTCTCTACCCCATCTACTGTAATTCATTTCTCCCCCTTGTTTTTCCCCCCTTTCCCCTCACTTCCTCTTGTATGTAATTTTGTATAACCATGAGGGCCTCCTTCCATTTCCATGCAATTTCCCTTGTCTTTCCTTTTCCCTCCCACCTCTCACCCCAGTTTAATGTTAATCTTCTTCTCATGCTCTTCCTCCCAACTCTGTTCTTAGTTACTCTCCTTGTATCAAAGAAAACATTTGGCATTTGTTTTTAGGGATCTTGTTGTTGTTTAATAGGGTGCATTATATTGACATTCAATAAATACTTTTTTAAATAAACTCTTGACTATTAATTTTTTGCATGGTCAGATAACATATAAAAAGTAATTAACAGCATGCCTGGTATGTGACAGGACCTCAATGAACATTAAGCAAACAAAAATTTTAAAAAGAAAAGGAAGAATGAGACATAAAAATAGATGAAACAATTATACTTATTTTCTTCAATACAGAACAATTCAACTATAATAAACAGAGGACCCTGATTTCATTGGTCAAGCTCCTGTAATGTCCAGTGTTGACTTGCTGACTAGGGACTTCTGATCCAAGGTGCTTGTGGAAGCTGCCTAGCAAGTTGGGGGGATAAAGGCTTCCTTCTGCCTGGTATCTATACCTGGGAGGGGGAAAGGCAGAACTAAAACTAATGCTGAGATACATCAAAGGTAGCATTATACCCTAAAGAAGGTCATTTAGTCTGCCACTCGATGTCAACCCATTCCCCAGTGTATTAATCCATTTATCTGCACACATGCATGCACATTCCTGTGCATTTTTTGGAGTATATACTGGAAAAGATTTCAGGACAGATGGAGGGAGTGAGGAAAGAAAGAGGGTGAGAGAAGAGAAAAAACACTGGTGACTAAGAATGTTGACTTCCAAATCAAGGGAGAACAGAGAAAGCATACAAGGTCTCTCTACAAAGTAGACAGATGCATGAAGAGTCGCTAGACAAAACCAAAGCAGTTCTCCTATTTCCTAGTAGTCAGTGGATTTTTTTTTTCATACAGATTTCCCACTACATTGCTCAGATTGGTCTTGTTCAAGTAATCTTACAGCCTCAATCTCCCAAGTAGCTGGGATTACAGGTATGTACCACCACATGCAGTTTTCAGTGGATATTTTCAAAGGTAATGGCCTTGGCACAAAAGCAAGAGACTTGTTTTGCAGGTGTCTTTCCTGTGGAACCACTGAAGAGTTCTATCCTGCTGCTTCTCTTTTAGGCATGGAGAAACTGGCCTTCCAGCCCTCACTGTCCTTGACATTGATTGTGACAGGAGGTCACCTTTGTTATGGCACATTTTATCCCCAGTATAGCATGCTGCAAATTATATGAAGAGTAAAAAGGCACAACCCTCTGCAGGATCAGGAAGACATCTGTGCACAAAGAAGTCTAAGTCTAAACAAAATAGACCTAAGAAGCAATGGGGAGGTATTTGAATACCCTCCACATTTTCACTACACTTCCTTTTCTGCTAAAGAAAGACCCCATGCAGTTTACACATATTGTGTTTAAAAAATACTTGGTAAATATTTGTTTTCCATCACAAGCAGTTAGAAGATAAAAGCCTAAATACAACCGAATATATTAGCAAAGCTAGTAATTAATAAATCTTTGTGGAAAGTACAAGTCATCTTAAATTTTACTATTTGTCATTCAAAAATCAATTTAGGAATAACATCAGAAGATTTAAATTCACCTCCATAAATGCTTTAGGTAATTGAATACCCTACTCTACAGCACACTTAAACATTTTAAGAAGCTCTGATTATGGTTAGATTTTATCATCCCAAGAGCCCTCACATCAAAGAATAGTAATGTTTCTGCTAGAAAATTTTAATTTTACCTGTTTGTAATGGTCGCAAGTGCAGGAGGACAGTAGTAACCGCTGGAAGCCTGGTCAAAGGTGCGAAGGACTGTGTCAATTTTGTAACAGAATCTACCATGTCTCTCCCATCCCTTAAACAAGAAAAGGGGAAATTAACAGTGTGTTTTATTTTAATTAAATACCAATAGGTCTTTTTTTGCATCTTCTCATATATATAACTTTTTTCTCGGACTCACTCAAATCTCTTTGAATTCTGTCTATATTTCTCCTATCTGGTGGTTCCAATAGCTATAGCCACTTTGACACTTTTAAAATTATCTGAACAAACTAGAAATTTTAATTAACTTAAAAATGCAAAAAATTTGACACAAATGAAAATAAAGGGGGAAAACATAGCAAACAAAAGACCACCAACTCTGGATCCAACCACAGTGTGACTTTTATCTATTAATATTGAATGAATTTCAATAAGTATAATGTCTCTGCATCTACTTTTCTCATCTGTAAAATGGTATAGTGTAATATTCATCGGTCTATTGTGAATCAAAAAGAATCAGTGCAGGCAGAGATCTTAGAGTAGAGCCAGGAAATCAGTATGAGCAAAGAAGAAAAGTGTCTAGATAATATTGGAGTCTTTTTTATTTTCAACTTTCTTTCATATTGATTGTTTCATGTTATCTCTTTGAGCTTAGGGACTTAAATAAAATCACCAACCAGTGGACCAGCTGAGCCTGGAACCCAATTCTGGTGCAATTGAGGATGGTCTTAGTTCAATCATGATACTTCCAAATAGAGAATGGCCAAAAAATATATACACATATATATGACAAAGATTATATTCCTAAATTAACTGGCTGGCCTTTTAGAGAGGAAGAAAGCTAATTTTAACACTCAGACAAAAATGACAAATATGTTGCTCTATGGCTTAGCCCTAGGAGCAAGTTAGGGTCACTCTGTTCTTTAAAATCACACGATACAGGAGTCATACATTCATTATATTTCAACTGAATTATCTTAGGTCTTTTTGTTTCAGTATTATTAAACCACATTGCTTAAATGCGACTTTTTTTTTCTTTTTACTTATTCACCAGTTTTAAAATACCTTTCATTTTGTGTCATGGCAATGCTTACCTGCTTTTGATGAGGCATAAAATGCTTTCTAGAATATTTCTTGGAAAGGTCTCAGTCTTGTCAATTAAAGAAAACCTTAATTTAGAAATCTGATATTTTGGTTCAAAACATTTCATGAAATGATGTGGTTCACGTGGCTCCCACATCCAGCCGTTCAGGGTCTGCTCTGAACTCACTCCCCTCTACCTCACTCCTGATCCTCTCTGTGTAACTGACAGCTCCAGAGAGACCCCTGTGAGCACTCTGTGGGCCAGGGGCAGGGAGGTTAGACTGCTTTTGTTCCTGGAAGGACAGGTGGAGGGAGGCTGACAATTTGACCTTTCTAACCAACTATTCCTTCTTTATTAGCAGTTTTTGGATCATGGGCAGCTTAGCAAAACAAAAATCCAAGAACTGAACAGCCTCAAGAAAAGGGAGGGTAAAAAGAAATGGCTGAGTAGTAACCAGGAGAACAAAACCTTTGCACTGCAAGCCCTTGTCCACATAATGGAAGAGTGGAGAGTGACAGGAGAGTCACCCTTTGTATACTCTAGCTGCCACTTCATTTCTAAACGAAGGGATGAGGGTAATAATGTTGAAGCACTTGCTTATATTGTCCAATCCCCAAAAAGTGACTCAGAGGAAAAAAATAAATCACTTTGTTTTTTTGGCTTTGAATAAGACTGATTTTGTAAATTCATGTTGCAAGGGGACACTATTTAGAGAGTTCCATTAAAACAAATGGCTAAAAGAAAGGAATCATTGGAAACCATACTCAGAGGCTGATGTAAAGCAAAAAATTATCAGGAATTTTTTCATACAACAAAAGAACTAGCCCTAAACTCAGAATCTTGAAATACTGGTAATTCTAGACAGAAAAGGGAAGCAGTAAAGTTCATATAGAGCACTCTGCTTTTTTGTATAAGAAGTTGATTGCTCATTCAGCAAAAATAAAACATGTGGAGTTGCCTGGAGAGCCACATAAGATAGAGATTAGGTCAGTGGTCAGCTATAACTAATTCAGGAACTGGAGTCCTTAGATAAACTGTTTGGTGACATGTCAGCTATGGCACATATATTATCCATCTGGAGTTTGAAGATGTAGTTTATATAAGCATTCATTAACAAATGGAACACAGTTTTTGCAGAGATGGATCACTGTTTAGTTTGAACATAAATAACTGGATTAAAGAAGAAAAGATTTAAAGTGGAGTTACATAAAAATCAGTCTGGGAATTTTAAAAAAATATTTATTTAGTTGTAGATGAACTTACAGTATCTTTATTTATTTTTATGTGGTGCTGAGGATCGAATCCAGTACCTCACACATTCGAGGCAAGCACTTTACCACTGAGCTACAGCCCCAGCCCCTGGGAAATTTTTGAGAATAACACGTAGCATGAAAATTTCCGATGAAAAAGAGGGAGGGAGCAGGGGGAAGGAGAGAGAACATGGGTGCATATTCTGAGGACACTGAGAGATCGATTTTTAAATGCAATTTTATCTCAGGGCAGTAAATAGTCAAGAAATTTTAAAGAGATAATTTTCTACCTTTTAGGTTTAAACCTAAAGTATTACATATTTTTATTTAAACTATCTAAAATACTTTGTTACTTATATTAAAGTATCTTTATTATTGCATTTCCAAATAAAGAATATATCACAAGCATGCTTTCCTCTCCATTATTTTATTCTGTTCCAATATTTAAGTCTCAGAAGGGGAAGAAGAAGGCAAGATGCTGGGTGCCGAAGTTCACTGTGACTCCAAGGAACGCATTCGCTTTCTCTCTGACATCCCATTTGAGAACTATGAAAACCATGTGTGAGAGGAGGCATTGTGCCACAGCCATTGTTTGTACAGATGGCATAACAGGATCATTTACATTTTTTATCTCAAGGAAAAAAAGAGTAGTCTTGGGTCAAAGAGCACAGCAAGACAACGATCTCTCTCAGGGTTGTAAATCCTTCAGGTGCCTCTATCTGGGAATTGTTTGGTTTGTAAAAAGTAGCCCACACTCAGGAAAGAGAGAGAAAGAAAGAGAGAGAGGGGGTGGGAAGGAGAGGAGGAATGGAGAGCAAAGAGAGGGAAGGTAAAGGAAAGGTGGGGAAGGCAGAGATTTACTTTAAATTAAGGGCAGATATATTATTCTACCTATATAGACCCTGTACCTAAATTGCAGTGTTACCCATACTTACCTCTTGACATCCTGATTCAGCATCAGGAATAAAATGGCCTGCTTTTTTACAAATGTAAAAATAGGTTTCTTCGCAATTTTTGACTTTCCAATATCCCTCCTATGGGAGAAAATGTTATGATGAATGAATACACTCTATGCTCATGCTTGTGGGCAATACCCCTTATTATGACCCAATATCTGATTAATAGCAAGTGTTTCCAGTGGGGCCATGTTTCAGGACCCTGCCTAGGAAAGGGTCATCAGCCCCTCCAGGGAGGGGAAGCCCCACTCTCTCTCCAGCATGCAACAGTTTTGATGCCCGCAATTTAGAAACGGGTTAGGAGGGAGGATACAACTGATATTTCTTGGTTGCTGCTGTGTACTAGACCTAATGTTGGGTGATTTTCATGAATTTCAATGTTTCTATCAGGTAGAAATTATTCTAATTTGAAGATTAGGCTTGATGCTTTGCACAAAGTTCTATAGTCAGTAAAAAAAATTAGAGCTAGGATTGATATCTGGGTCAGTCTGGCTTTGCATTAAGCTGCTCTCAAATTTTCTTTTAAAAAGATGGGATGGAGTAATGGTTCAAAATCATTAGTGTGTAACAGAATCACCTGGAGGGACTCCTGAAACACTGATGGCTGTAGCCCTTGATCAGATATTTCATTCAATGGGTCTGGTGGGACCTGAGGATTTGTAATTGTAAAAGGCTTCAGGTGATGGTGATGTTGCCGGTCTAAGGTCATGCCTTGAGAACCACGTGGATGGAGTCATCCCTCTGATCGATTGAGAGTGCCACTTTCTCTTCCCAACCACTTCTAAGTGTTAAATCAAAGGCTCTGCTGCTTTTATGTATAAACTTGATGCTGGGGAAATACCTGGAAGCCACTGTGAATCATCCTAGATAACATTCACATGGTTGAAATTCATGTTCAACCCCCAAAGTCCTTCTCCATCACTAAATTTTCAGAGCATCACCCAGCTCTTTATATAATAGGCTGTCTTCTCCCAGCTCTACCAACGGCTGTTCTCAGATTCCTCATGAATAATAATATAATATCTGCCAGCAGATTAAAATTTTAATTTCCCAAATGATTTTTTATTTTAATTCAAGTCAGAACTGTAGATTAAAACCACACAATTCAAATTTCAGTTGGTATTTCAGGTATACAGAATTTTAGGGGAATATGGAGCCCTTCCGTGACCTTCAGATGCATACTCTGTCAAGGGCTGACATTTTCACCTGTAAGAGCAGCACTGTCCCTCACCATGGAATCTTCCAGCAAACCATCCAATTATAGAATAGTCAGGCATACCAGAGTTGCTTAATGACTGTTGGATAGATAGATAGATGGATGAATGAGTGGTTTCGTAGGCTTTCACATTTAAATTTAGGTGTTAATCATGATTAGATAACTTGTTACATATAACGAGTATTTCATTTTAAGGCTTACTTGATGAAAATAAATGTTAATTTTTATATACCTACTACTTAAGGAAATAAGCTGTTACAAAGGGGGTTACAGAATATCCCACTTAGAGGATATTCTACCTCACTCTTTTAAAATAATACTATCTATCTAAATGTTGGCTCCTGTTCTACAAAAAAGCTAAGTGAAATATTCTTGTCAGTCTATAGGAAATGGTCATCTTAATTATATCAAAACCAATGAGTCAATAACATTTCTACTATAGGAGCATGAACTGTGGTGGATTTAAGCAGAGTCAGACCTATGACAAAGATTTAGGAGGTCACTGTTTCTCCTTCCCCCAAAGGAACTCAGAGGCACTGCATTAACATGTATAATTGTGACTGCATATGTTATGCAGGCCTTACGACACCCAACAATAAAGGTGTCACAGAAGTAAGTGTCTTGGTCTCTGCTGTGGCCCAAGTCCCTGGCATAGGAGGTCCTTGACATAGGTCCAGCAACATGTGCATTGAAAAAAACGAATCAACTTACAGATTGTTCTGCTGAGATGCATTGCTGGCTTCTATTTGGAAAAATTCGGGGCTCAAGGGCGTGCCAATTAGTAAAGATGACTGAGGAGCCATTAGACCATTCAAAGAAAACTGGAATTTTATTGCTGCTCAAACCAATCCATGTTTCGGATGCATTTTCTGTAAGAGACAATTGTAAATTACTTAGGAGATTCTATTATTTGCAAAGGTGATAATGCACTGAAGTTATTACCAAAACATACTACTTTACACGTGATTGCTTCATGTGAAGAAACCCGTTTAAGCTTCATATAAATACCTGTCTAAACTTTCCCCTCCCACAATATTCAGATCTGCTTCAAGACCTTTTAAGTGAAGCAAAGGGTGAGCTAAAGCCATCACAATGACAAAACCGAAGCATGTCAGACTCCTTGGACTCTAGCTCCTATTATAGTGAGTAAAATAGACCTGAAAATCTGGTTTTGCTTCTGCCTAGAGAAAGGGAAAAAAAATGGGAAGGTTGATTGGATTATGAAAAGGGACATTTAAAAGAAGCATTTATAATGATATCTACCTTTAATATTTTTCTCTTTTTCATCCCCCCACCCCACACAAAGGAGAAAAGGAACAAAAGCTCTTAAATGAATTAAATTGGCCAAATTATGTTGTTGTATCATGTGCATGTATGAGTATGTAACAATGGATCCCACTATTATGTATAATTATAACTCACCAATAAGAAATATGAAAAAAAATAAAATGGGAGCAATGGGTTTCTGGAAAAGTAACAAAGTATGACCGCCTAGATAGGGTAAAGAGACCCCAGGTGGTTAAGCAATGTCTAAGTGTCCTTGTGGACACAGAGGCAGCCTTAGGATTCTTTTAATCCCAAATAGAAAGGATTAGGGAAAATGACAGGAAGATTTGTGTTTTCATGCCAAAGCAAAACCTAACATTCAAAAGGTCATCAGAGTAGAGTTCTGGGGGTTTCTGGGTTTGTTTTCATTTTTAAAAATGAAATGAATGGTTTCAATGTTTTCCAGCAGGATTCCTGTGAACTATAGGACAGAGAGGAGCAGACTGGATCTGAAGGGCTGAAGGTAGAAGAGATTGGAATCCAGGAACTCACACATGACAGACTGCCTGAAAATCACCACGCCAAATAAATTATGCCTTTCTCATAACTTATACCTGAAGTTATTTCACTTAATTATTTGCTTAAGGAATTCCCTTTACATGACCAGCACACAACTACCACATAATGGCCATAAAACTAAATCATAGGTTTAGATTTTGCATTAGAAGTTTCAGAAAATGCTATTACCCCTTAAAACAATTAAAAGCCATCTAATACATATTTGGCATATGTGGAGATGTTACAAAGTTTCTGAACATGCATTTAGTAAAAATCCAATGAATTTGCATTCCTGAATACTATTGAGAACCTTTAAATAAATGTGCCCAAAACACTTTTAAATAGCTTAAATTTCTTTTCAGCTCCACTAATAAAACATTACTGCGGTCTGGGTTGTGGCTCAGTGGTAGAGCGCTTACCTCGAACGTGTGAGACCCTGGGTTTGATCCTCAGCACCACGTAACAATAAATAAATAAATTAAATAAAGGTATTGTGCCCAACTACAACTAACAAATAAAATTTTTTTTAAAAAGTTACTGCATCATGTTTCATTCTTCTTAAATCTAAGGCAAAGATACTCACCATCTCTAAGGAGGTTTACAAGGAACTCCACCTCTGCTAATGAAGCTATGTCTATTAATGTGCTATTATCAGACTGGCAAGAATGCAAAGCCTCATTCCAGGTTTTTTCTTCTTTCTGAAGTTTGTAGCAATTACGATTGTAGGGATTCCAGCCAGGCTCACAGTGGGTAGCGTGATATTTCCAAGCATCTTTATCTTTTTTCAACAAAAAGCAATGAAATTTTCCACAATTATTTTAACGTGACTTATTACTCTTTATTTAAATTGCCATCAATATGATTACTTTGAAAATGTGAAAGTCAAGATAAATGCAATGACATATAAATCGTGGAATTTTAGATCCTCAGAATTGAGAAGGGCCTAGTCTCTGATCTAGATCTAGATCTAAGGTAAAATGAATCTTAGCTCCTCATTTTCCAGATGAGACATCTAAGGAACAAAGCAGTAGGAGACTTTACAAAGATCATGTACAACAAAAGCTGAAAGTCAGGGCTAGTTAACAGGGTTAGGTATGATTTCACTGCTATCTGGGGAAGAAAACATTCTTTTAAAATTGCTTCTTGGACTCTGACAACAAGTAGAATCATAGTCCAAGAATGTAGAACATTTAGACATCATCCGGTGGTTTTCAAGCTAGGAAACGAAGCCACACAGATCCCTTTTAAAATATGGAGTTTTAAACCTCAGTCTAAAGGTACGAAAAAAAAGGTGAAGGAGGAACTTTTTCTGATGGAAGCAATAGCAGAGCCAAGCAAGAACCTGGTGTAGCAGAGCAAGATGGTGGTTGAGGGCTGGGATGCAGCTCAGGGGTAGAACGCTTGCCTGACATGTGGGAGGTGCTGGATCTGCTCCTCAGTATGTTCACTCTTGTGTGCTTGCCATGCACAGCCCCCTCACCCTCACCCCCAAGATGGAGATGAGTAAGATCCTCCAGTGATGTCTCCCCACAGAACACAAAGCTGAACAGCTATTCATGCACCAAACTCCTTCACAAGACCCAAGGAAATCAGATGAGAGACTAGGCCCTGCTTTTAGTACAACAAAATGAAAGGGCATACTGAAGAAGGCAGGAAGGAAAGTGTCACCTCTCCTCCAACTCCAAGCAGTCCGGCACATAAAGAGATGCCTCCTCCTTGGGGGAAGTAGAGAGAACCATGTTCAAGGTCTTCAACTTGAAACCCAGTACCAGGCCCACCATGGTGAAACCCTGTGACCATGGCCCCTATTGCCAGACCAGTTCCTGTGGACTGACCCCCACGAATTGTTAGGCTGACTGTCTCCACTAAGTTTCCTCCAATCTCCAACAGCAGAGCAGGGAGCAGGACTCCCTTCTTGGGGAACAGGGCATGAAAGCTAGCACAGGGCTTTGTGTTGGAGCCCCAGTGCCAGGCCCACTGCAGTGAGACCCAGTACCTCTTAGAAACTGAAGACCTCATTCACAGGCCACAACTCCTAGATAGAGCCTCTGCGTCAGCCCCAGCATCAGGTGGAGATCGGTTGAGTTTTTGCCTGCATCATCTCTGGCTGTAGAATGAAACTGGGGTACACCTACCCTCTTCCTGAGACTGTACAGGCCCCTGCAGCTATGAGATTCAAGTACAACCTAGTTTAATTCAGCCTTGGTGTCTTCCACCACCAGTCTCAGACAGCAGCTATTTTCTTTTCTTTTTTGGGGTGGGGTGAGGTAGGTGGATACTGGGGATTGAATTCAGGGCCACTCAACCAGTGAGCCACATCTCAGCCCTATTTTGTATTTTATTTAGAGACGGGGTCTCAGTGAGTTGCTCAGTGCCTCGTTTTTGCTGAGGCTGGCTTTGAACTTGCAAACCTCCTGTTTCAGTCTCCCGAGCCACTGGAATTACAGGCGTGTGCCACCTAACTCGGCTAGCCAGTTATTTTCTGAGGGCAATGCTCTCAGATAGTGTTCTAGAACTGCTTGTGAACTAGAAAGACCTACATCCCAGGGGCACAGACTCATGTTTTGGCCTGTTTCTCTGCCATCTGTGGTGGTATGGGCCTCGGAATACCCCTGAGACTGTGCAGGCCTTTGCAGCTATGAGACTCAGGTGTTACAGCTTAGTGACAGTCTTAGTGGCCAAGGGACTGCCTTCACAACACTACCTCAATCTTGGGCAGTATAATGTGCTGCAAAATGCCATTGACTGTGGGTAGGAGAGGGTGGTAAGTACAAGACTTTGCCCTAGACCTCAGTGCTAATTTGGTGAACCTTAACACCAGGCAGATCCTGGTGGGTTCATCCCCAGGCCTGCCTGCAGATGAAGCCTCTGGAACAGCTCCAGTGCCAGGGGAAGATACATGGCCTCAGTATATTGTATTTCTATTCTAGCTAATGGCAGAATGGGGCCACAAGTCCATCTCATCAATAGACAGCCCATAGAGTGAGCCTTGCTCCTACCCAATTTGTGTTGGTCTTAGTGGGCTATGGGCTCAGGGTGTGATGAAGCTTGGGTGGCCACAGGTATGACACGGGAACCCGGGGCTGGTCCATCCATCTGCCTAGGGCCAGGTAGAATCCTGCAGTGTAACCACAGGCCAGTAACTGTGGATGAGGCATCTGGGGTTATTGGTGTTCAAGAAAGACTTGAAAATGCTGAAGGGGTAGAAAGCTTACTCAAAGAAATAATAACAGGAAACTTCCCAAACCTAGAGAAGGATACAAATATCCAAGTACAAGAAAGTTAAAAGTTACCAGTCAGATTTAACTTACCAGGGCTAGCCCAAGGTATTTTATAATCAAGCTCTAAAAGGTGAAAGATGAAGAGAAGATTCTCAAAATTGCAAGAGAGACAAACAGCACATTGGAGTCTCCCAATTTACTCAACAGCAGACTTCTTAGCAGAGACCTGGTAGACCAGGACAGAGTGGCCTGAGATTTTCATAGTACTGAAGGAAAAAGAAATAAAAAGACTATCTTCTGAGGATACTGTACCCAGCAAATCTATCCATTAGAAATGAAGAAGAGATCAAGACATTCCCAAATGAAAACTTGAGAAAATACAATACTACCAGATCTATTACACAAGAAATGCTAAAGGAAGTTCTTAAAACTGAAAGAAAGAGACATTAATGAGTAAAAGTATTTATGGGAAGGTAGAAAACCTACTAATAAGAGTATATAAACAAATTCAGAATGTTCTCATATTTTCTCATATGGTAAGTATGGTGTTAAACCATTCATATCTTTAATATAAAAACTAAAATTCAAAATGTTGAAAAATAATAACTACATTAATGTGTTAAGAGATAGGCAATATAGAAAGATGTAAAATGGGCTATCAAAAAATTTAAATGTGAGGAGGAAGGGGATGTGAATGTGTACTTTTCTTAGTAGTATATTTTCTCTTGTTCTTTTGTATTTGGTTCTGTTCTGGTCTTTAAGTTGGTAAAAATTAAAAATAACTTGTTATAATCAAAAGTTATGTTTTGTAAGCCTCATGGTAACCACAAAGCAAAAATCTATAATAGACAAAACAAAATAAAAAGTGAAGAATCAAAACATACTGATAGAGTAAATCACTTAACCATAAAGGAAGACTGTAAGAGAGGGAGAAATAAAGAATTACAACAATACTAGAATACAAGTTATAAAGTGATTGTAGTAAACTTAGCTATCAATAATTACCTCAAACATAAATGAATTAAATTCTCCAATTAAAAGACATACAGTGTCTGGAGCAAAAAAGAAAAGAAAACAACAGCAACAACAAAAAACCAAGACCCAAATATACGTTGCTCACAAGAAACTCACTTTACCTCTAAGGACACATATAGGCTGAAAGTGAAGAGATTGCTATGATATGACATGTAAGTAGAATCAAAAATAAAGCAGGAGTAGCCATATTTATATAAAATAAAATAGACTTTAAATCAAAAGCAGTAAAAAGAGAAAAGGAAAGTCACTATACAATAATAAGGGGTAGCCAGGCACAGTGGCACACAACTGTAATCCTAGCAACTCAGGAGACTGAGGCAGGAGAATTGCAAGTCTGAGGCCAGCATCTGCAATTTAACAAGACCCTGTATTAAAACAAAAATAAAAAGGGCTGAGGATGTGGTTCATCAATATATGGAATGTGGAAAAACTGAAAGCTCTCTTTTTAAGATCTACAACAAGACAAAGTTGCCAATATAGTCACTTTTAGCCAATATAGTCTTGGAAGTCCTAGCTAGAGCAAGCAGGCAAGAGGAAGAAATAAAGGACAACCAAATTGGAAAAAAAGAAATCAAATTGTCAGTCTCCAGAAGACATGATCTAACCAAATAACTTTTATAACTAATAAATGAATTCAATAAAGTTGCAAGATAGAAAGTCAATCTATAAAAATGAGTAATGTTGCTTTATGCCAATAATGAATTATTTGAAAAAGAAATCAAGATAGCAATCTCATTTTCAATAGCTATCAAAAAGTCTTGAAATAAGTTTAGCCAAAGAGATGAAAGATATCTACAATGAAAATGTGAAACATTGATTAAAGAAATTAGAGACAAAAAGTGGAAAGACATCCTGTGTTCACAGCTTAGAAGAATCAGTGTTGTTAAAATGTCTGTATTGCATGAAATGATTTACAGATTCAGTGCAATTCCTATCAAAATACTAATGATATTCTTCAGAAAACTAGAGAAAACAGTCCTCAAATTAATATGGAAACAAACAAAACTCCAAATAGCCAAAGTCATCTTGAACAAAAGAACAAATCAGGAGGCATTACACTGCCTGATTTCAAGACATACTACAAAGCTATAACAATCAAAACAGCATGGTATTGGCATAAAAACAGACACATAGACCAATGGAACAGAAGAGAGAACCTACAAATCTACCCATGCTTCCATAGCCAACTGGTTTTTGACAAAGGTGCTAAGAACACACATTGGAGAAAGGACAGTCTTTTCAATAAATGGTGCTGGAAAAATATCCACATGCAGAAGACTGAAACTAGACCCCTATCTCTTACCTGTTACAAAAATAAGCTAAAAAAAAATGAAGACTTAAATGTAAGACATGAAAGTACTTGATGAAAAAAAGAGACATGCTTCAGGACTTTGGAGTGGACAAGCATTTTTTGGTTGAGACCTCATAAATATAGGAAACAAAAGCAAAAATGGAAATTACTTCAAACTATAAAGCTAAGTGAAGGAATTAATCAACAGAGCACAGAGAGAATCTACAGAAAGGGAGACATATTTGCAAACTGTGCATCTGACAAGGAATTACTATCTAGAATATAGAAGGAACTCCAAAAATTCAATTAAAAAAAACACAAACTAATAGCTTGATTAAAGTGGGCACAGTGGCATACACCTATAACCCAGCAGCACAGGAGGCTGAGACAGGAGGATTGTGAGGTCAAAGTTAGCCTCAGCAAAAGTGAGGTGCTAAGCAACTCAGTGAGACCCTGTCTCTAAATAAAATACACAACAGGGCTGGGGATGTGGCTCAGTGGTTGAGTGATCCTGAGTTCAATATCTGATTAAAAAAAAAAAAGAGTCTAGACTTTGGGCAGGGGTTGTGGCTCAGTGGTAGAACGCTTGCCTAGCATGTGTGAAGCACTGGGTTAGATCCTCAGCTTCACATAAAAATAAAATAAAAGTATTGTGTCCATCTAAAACTGAAAAAAAAAGGTAGTGGGTGTTCCTTACTCCCATAGAGCTGACAGTTGGAGATACAGAACTTAAAAAAAAAAGTGGGCAATAGATCTAAGTAGACATTTCTCAACAGAAGATATCCCAATGGCCAACAGACATAACAAAAAAAAGTTTAATATCACTAGTCACCAGGAAAATGCAAATCAAACCACAATGAGATATAGCCTTGCCCCGATAAGAATGGCTATTATAATAAAGACTAAAGACAACCAATACTTGCAAGGAGGTAGAGAAAAGGAAACCCTTGCATACTGTTGTCGTGAATGTAAATTAGTATAGCCATTAAGGAAAACAATATGGAAGTTCCTCAAAAATAAATATATAACTACCACATGATCCAGCAATCCCACTAGTGGCTATATTTCCAAAGGAAATGAAATCAGTATGTCAAAGACACATCTGTTTTACATGCTTATTGCAGCACTATTCATATTAGTCAAGAAATGGAAACAACCTAAGTATCCATCAACTGGCAAATGGGTAAAGGAAATGTGGTGAATGGAACAGAATACTAGTCAGACATAAAAAGGATGAAATCCTGTCTTTTGGAACAACATGGATGGAACTGGAGATCAGTATGTCAAATGAACTAAACCAGGCATAGAAAGACAAATACTGCATGATCTCACTCATATGTGGAATATAACAAAGTTGATCTCACCATAGTTAAGAAAAGACTGATGATTACCAGAGACCAGGGAGAATAGGTGGGGAGAGATGGGGAAATATTGATCAATGGGTGCTGAATTACAGTTAGATGGACATGGGAGGAACTGGTGTTTTTGCACCGTGAGGTAACTGTAGTTGATAATGATGTATTGTGTATTTTGAGAAACTGTAAGAAATAATTTTGAAAGTTTTACTGGGAAATGAAATTGGCCAAATTACATTGTGTGCATATGTGAATAAGTAACAATGAATTCCACTAATAAAACTAGAATGCACCAATGAAAAAAGAAATGACTTGAGGAGGTAGAGATTTTAACCTGATGTCAATGCTGTGCAAGGTGTACATGTATCAAACCATTAAAGGTTGCCCTGTTAACATGTACAATTCTTATTTTCTTTATGTGTCAGTTAAAACAAACAAACAAAAAACCCTGGGATCCCAGAAGCACAGTGTGAAGACACTGGACTGAATCATCAGAAGAATTTCTTGATCTCAAAGCAACAGCATATACTGCAAACAAACCTAATGCCACTATTCCCATTTCTGGTCTTCTAGTCTCAATTAGTAGATTAGAAAAACATGAAACAGAAGAAAGGAGGCAGGGGAATGCAGGAGGGCATAAGAAAGAATGAAAAGATGAAGAAGAAAGACATGGACAGAGAAAGGTAAAAGAAGGAAGAGACAGAGGGAAAAGGACAAAAACAGCTGGCAGCATTTTTAGGCAAATTCTTGAAAGAATGGAAAAATCCCTGTGGGGGAAAAAAACGACAGGATCCCTACCCCTGTTGTACATTATTCGCAGGCTGAGCTATTTAAAGGAGAATAACAGTTAAAACCTGATTGTAAGGGGCAATATTTAAACATGACAATTTAGCCTTTTTAAAATGTAGAGTTGTTTCTAATTATTCTTGTAATGATTCTTTTAAAAATGGTTATGTTTTTATCTCTACTTTTGAGTTAAGACATTTATTCCCACAAGAACTAAAAAGAGGTAATAGACCTTAAAGACAGAAACAATTGGGCTAGATTGTAATTTGGTATTATTTAAGTCTTAATTATACCATTTTTTGTTATTTTAGGGGGAGGGTGTTACTAATAAGAGATACAGATGTGGTACAAAATCGAGAAGGGTGTAAAGTTATAATTAAATAGGGGGAATTGGTTCTGCTGCAGAGTAGGGTGACTACAGTTGAAAATAATGCATTAGGCTTGGGATACAGCTCAGTTGGTAGAGTGCTTGCCTCGAATGCACAAAGCCCTGGGTTTAATCCCCAGTGCGCACACACACACAGACACACACATACACACACACATACACACACAATGCATTGTATATTTCAAAATAGCCAGAAGAGGGATTTTTGAATGTTCTCACTCCAAAGAAATGATGAGCATTTGAAATAAAGGATAAGCTAATAATCCCGATTTAATCATTATGCAATACATAGATGTATTGAAATATATCGAAACACAACATTCTATCTCATAAATATGTACAATTATTGTGGGTCAATTAAAAAATTAACAAAAAAGAAAATTAATGAAGTAAATAATTTGATATGTTTAATTTCTAGGGGAATCATAAATAAAACTCAAATCTAGATTAGCAAAAAAGAGCAAGCTTCTAATGCAGAATGATTAAAGAATGCAAATTTTTTAAAAAGAGGAAGAAAATGTTTGCTATGCTCAGGTTGTTTCAGCTTTTAGTAAAAGCATAAATACATCTGTTAGATTCATTGTGCTTTTGAAATTACAGATATTATCTAGTTATACATTTTTATTCATAAAAACATAAATCAGCTTTAGCTAAATTTAAATTATGAATTAACAAAAATAGAGGAATTTGAATATATTGAGAGAATAAGTAAACAACGTGCAAGAACAAGTTAAAACACTTACCAACTATTTCATGATCAGTGTGGTTTAGATATTTTTTACATATATAAGGCAAGGTGAACTCACAGTCCCTACTCCTCCAGGCATTTGACATAAATGTATTAAATACTCCACAGCGATATTCAACAAATGGATCAACGTTCGTCTCTGAAAATACAATATGTGTGTTTCAAGTGAGTTCAATACACACTGAAATGTAATTTTAGCATCTAAAGAAACTTCTCAAAGATAGTAAAGCCTATTAGATATTATGATTTTGCAGCTAAAGTCCAGACATGACAATTAAATGATTTCCCAATGATGGCAAAAGAGCCAATTTCACTTTAAAGTGAATTTTTTTTTTTTTTTTTTTTTTTTTTGCAATTTGTTGTTATTTCTAAAAACAGCAGCTGGAACCTGAACTCTAACCCACATTCTCCTGCAGCCTTAGCTAAATAGCTTACCTTCCTGGCCTCTACCTTATTTGTCTGGAAAAACTTGCCTTATAGGATATTTAGTTAGGCTAAAAAATATTTATAAGCCACTTCAAGAATAATGTCTTGTATCTACATGGGACATGCCGCTGCTTAAGGCCACAGAATGATGCCACATGTCGAAGGTAAGTAAAACACTGTGGGTACCTGTGTTCCAGTTCAGATAGGTAAGTGGGGTGCCATCAGACCACTGCCAGCCAGTGTTTTCATCCAGCTGATTCAAACCTGTCCATACTTCTACTGCTTTACCACTTATGTGCTCTGAAAAGAAAATCATGGAATTAGAACGTTTTTAATGTTATACTTCTGTCTTGTTTTCCTATTCCTGGTTCATAGAGTCATTAATCAATCTTAGTAACAGGATGGGGTTTAGGTGCTACTAAAACCCACCCTGATGCTTCAGAGGGACAAAAGCAAACCTCCACTGTCCTCAGAAACCCAGCAATCTCCTAAAGTTCACACTTGGCTGCCAGTGTTTCATTCAAGCATCCAAAAATGTTGTCCTTCAAAGGTTCTCAATGTACTCAGGGGTGCATTGTTAAGATTCTGAAGCCATCTTATTTTCAAAGGGTTCATGCATTTAAGACTTTTAGAGTGTAGATGAGGAAGTGTCCAGGGCCACTCCCAGAAAGCCAATGGAGGCAAGTCTTTAAATTTCAGAAAGTGTGCTGAAGCACAGCAGATCAGGGAAAGCCAGTCAGAAATGTGTGGCCAAGAGAAGCAGCAAAATGCAAGGGACCAGAGAGCATCCAGAGGGATCTCCATCAGGTGTGGACTAAAGCCACATGCAGTATGTTAGGGTTTAGCTATTAGATGTCTCAAGAGCTCATGTGTGAGACAGTGCAAGAAAGTTTACAGGCAAAATAATTGGGTTATGAGAACCTTAACCTAATCAGTGCATTAATTCCTGATAAGGATTAACTAGGTGGTAGTTGTAGGCAGGTAGGGTGTGGTTGGAGGAGGTGGGTCCCTGGAGGCATGCCTTTGGGGTATATATTTTGTCTTGATTGAGGAGAGTACTCTCTCTCTCTCTCTCTCTCTCTCTCTCTCTCTCTCTCTCTCTCTCTCTCTCTCTCTCTCTTTCCTGGAGCCACGTCATCAGCTGCTTTCCTCTGCTACACCTTTTCACCATGATGTTCTTTGCTTTGAACCCTGAGGAATGGAGTCAGCCATCTATAAACTGAGACCTCAGAAACTGTAAGCCCCCAAGTAAACTTTTCCTCCTAAAATTGTTCTTGTCAGGTTTTTTGGTCACAGCAGTGAAAAAGCTGACTAAAACATTTGAGGCTGCTCCCACTACTTAGGTCAGAGACAGTTTATGGCAGGCTGGCTCTGTGGCTCCTGTGGCTGACCACTGCATCACGCATCTCATGCTTTAATTTCCCAGGTTATGAGGTCAGAGTATTCACATAGCAAGTCTGCAGCATCCTCAGTGATTGCACATGGAATCTCGTCCTAATGCTGATTTAATTATTCCTTTCAATAGCACTATATGATCATTAACAGATCGAAACAGGTTTTGTGATGACAAGAAATGTATTGAAAGATGCATTGATGCCAGGTTTGGTGGCGCACGCCTGTAATCCCAGTGGCTTGGAAGGCTGAGACAGGAGGATCAAAAGTTCAAAGCCAGCTTCAGCAAAAGCCACGTCAGTGAGATCCTGTTTCTGAGTAAAATACAAAATAAGGCTGGGGATGTGTCTTAGTGGTCAAGTGCCCCCTGAGTTCTATCCCTAGTACCCCCGCCCCCCCAAAAAATGCATTGACAAAACAGGGAAAAATTTCCATAATTCATATCTAAGTAAGTGCCAAGTAATGTTTTAAAGTAATCTAATTAAAATATAAATTATTCTTATATTTTGAATGTCCATTGTGCAATTGTTTTATTAACACACATAAAGGCATTCTGCAATTTATAATCTATGTTTAAAGTTCAAAAAACCTGTCTACTTATCTTTACAACTAAATTGACCCTCAATATCGTAATAACAAACTCAAATGTAAATTCCTTTGGATATTGCTTGGCATACATGACAGCTTAGATAATTCTTTATTCCCATAGTTAATGTTCACCAGTAACTAGCAAGAAACATTAGAATATTCTCATCATTAAAAAATAGGTTAATTAGAACAGAATTCTGTCTTTATGAATAGACTTCTGTTTTCCTAAACAACTTTCAAAGTCTAATTATAGAATTGAGGAATATAAATCAAAGTCTCTGACATTTTATTTTCAAAAATAGTTATTGAAATTCAATGCATAATTCCAAATCTTCTCATAATATATTTTTGCAGTTAAGATAGATAAAACTGTAATTCATAAATGGTGTGCAAACTTTTACATAAAAACCTCCAGGTTAATAATAATTTTGGAAATTGGTGTTTTCCCCTAATATGTATGACTCACTCAAATCTGGGGGGAAGGGTAGGCATGCACTGTTTATCCATTTGTAACAATTCTTCTGGAAAATGTTACTGACTTTCAAAAGCTTTTAAGTAAGTGTGCCTCTTCTTCCATTCTGGGAATCCACTTCTATAAGCTTATAGAGAAATAATTGTGGAACTATGAACAATGAAATATGCAGGAATGGTTAATAATTGTAACAAATTAAGTAAATAAGATAATTTTATCTGTCTCTAATTAAGAGGAGATTACATAAATACATTACTGCCTAACTACACTACTAGGTAATCATTAACAATTATGATGTATACTATATATTTACAGACATGGACACATGTTTTTTATAGGTAGGCGAATGAAAAAGGCAGCTTACCCACTGTGTGCATGGTTGTTAAATGGTTAACACACACTGAGTATTCGTTATGTGTGCTGGGCACTTTTCTAAGACTTCATCTGTATTATAAGATGTAATCTCCACTAAGCAGTAGGTACTATTATTTCCTCTAGATAGTGGAGGAATTGAGGCACAGAGTGTTTAAGTGAGTTGCTTGAGTAAATCTGTTAGTAAGTGGTAGAGGCAGGATTCAATCCCAGGCAGGGAGCGCTCTGGTTCCTGCACCTATATTATGTGCAATAGCTGCCTCATACTTTCATATGATACCATTTATTCATATATGCTATGTATATCCCATGCATTTATATGTTTTTGAAAAAGGACATGGTTAACTCTGGTTTATAGAACTATAGGTAATTTTTCATTTGCTTTTCTTTCTGTATAGCTGATTTAAAAATTATTTTCATTGTCCTACATGTGTAATAAAATTTGAGAAAAAAAGTGTCAAAAATTCTTAATAAAAGTGACTAATTTTTTGACACTTTTTAATGTTTCCAAAAAAAATTTAAAGGGATTCCCAAACACATTTAATCTATAAAGAAGTAAAAGAATGATTTAGGGAATGGGTGAAACACAAGTCTCGCTTGTTAGTACAAATCCTTTGACATTTTATATTATTGTCTTATACTGTTAGTTCACATGTGTGTGTTTTTGTTTTTCCCACTAAAATGTTCAATTCTTTGGCATCTTCCAGAAAGCCTAGTATGTACTGCATGCAGTGAGTGACAGATAAACTGTTAATTAATAGAGTACTTAATAATTTATAAATGGAATTCAATGACTAATGTCTTCAGAAGAGACATTTTTGCATATGTGAACATAACTGTTAACAATAATCATTTTATCATACCAATATCAATGTGCGTCATCCACCTACTTACTCCTTATGAAATTTTCTTCACTTTCATCTGCAATACTTAATAAAGCACTTCCTTGCATCTGGCATGAAGAATGTGCCTCAGTCCAAGAGAGAAATGAAAGCAGGTTGAATTGGTAGCAAATGTGTGAATCGAGGTCCTTCTCCAAGAGAGCATCACAACCTATCTCTGTAGAGGCTGGAAAAAAATCCATTTAAAACATTCACTATAGTGTTATTTTATCCATACAGACATATATTTTTAAGACACTTTTGAATGGAATGAGTCCAACTTGCAACCTCTAAAGCTTATCTATTCTTGATTAGGTCTGTTAGATGAAAATCTGCATTGTTATTTCATTGATGTCTTACAGTTAAACTTTTTCAAGATTTACCTAAGGATATTCAAGAAATTATCAATAAAGAAGCTCTGATACATTCAGGAAAATAATAAAAACTGGTTTTAAGAGAAGGAAATAGAAGTGAAACATGGATAAAAAATAAAATCTGTATTCATTGGTGAGTAATCATTTACAGCTTTACATCAAAAGCTTTGTGAATTAAAATGTATATTGGAGACAGACACAAATGTTGTTTCAAAAGATTTTTCTCCCTAAATACCCAAGTGCTAAGTGGAATACATAGAATAGAATAGTTACATGAGTCAATAGTGAACACAAATTTTCAAATAAACATCAAGCACAGGAACCTTGATATTTGAATAGTTCTTTCAGCCAAGAGGAATAGAAGCAAAAAATCCACTTGTAAGACATTGGCCAAAGATTGCATAGTATGCCTGAAAGTAAATTTCATGAAGTATGAAATGTGGATCTGAAATCTCAAGTTTCTTGAAATAACAGAAAATGAAGACCTAGTTTGGGTACTTTTGCTAAAATGCTAAATTAAGCCCCAAGATAGAGTAAGCAGACAAAGAATTTCAGACTGTAGAAAATGTGATCCATCCGATAGCATGAATATAGCTGATGGACAGGCCACCTACTACAATCTAGAACATCCTTTCCCAATTGTGGTCCTCAGAATAAGATGAATTCAAGAGTCTCCACAAAGTAGATCCAGGCCATAATGCACATTGGTGTCCTCTGGGAAATTCCCGGTGTGTATTAGCCTATTAAAGAATGAAATGTTCTGCAGTTCAGGTAATTTTAATTCAGTATTCTTTAAACTTATTTGATGGTGAAAGCCTTTTTAGTTTCTTTTCCCCATACTTAGTTAGGTGGTTCCCTTGGGAAATGTGGAAAGTTTTTTTTCATGTTTGGTTACAACACACATTCCCCAGAACTGAGTTAGTTAATCAGAAGTTATTAAATCACATATAAATCTCAGGTTGTCTTTAGAATTTCCTGGCTGATACATGTATTTATTGAAGGGTCCAAGACTGAAGTGGGCAGAAGACAAGACTATCACAGAACAACAGATGAAGAAAAGACCAGAAAGAAAAGGGAAAGAGGGAGGGAAATTTCGTAACCATTTTGCCCTGGTGGCTGAAATTTCCCCATTGAGATGGAATCCTTAAAGACGGTCTTTAGCTAAAATGCTAGGCCTTCCCATTTTTTAGAGCTTAGTTCTGCCATGTTCATCCAGTGCGGCAGCTGAGACCAGAAGGGGGAGCAGAGAGGGAACTGTTTACTAATTAAGGGTGCAAATGATTCATGTAGCCAGATTATTTTTTTAAATGTAGATTGTCAGTCTCAAAGGTTCTGAAACAGTTGGTCTAGGGCAGGATTCAGGAACATGTCTTTAAAACATGTTTTTAAAACATGGTTTCCAAGGCAGATGCTCCAGGAAGCAAATACTAGAAAACACTGTCCTAAAGGAAAAAATTCAAAACCCTTCCTAAGGAGGGCATGTCCAAGTAGGCCTTGGCTATTAGAAGAGAGTAGAATGTTAGAAAAGCAAATCTGAGGGCTGGGGTTGTGGCTCAGTGGTAGAGCACTTGCCTAATATGTATGAGGCACTGGGTTCAATCCTCAGCAGATCTGAGAGGAAGCTCAGTCCTGGTGAGTGGGGTATCTGCTTCTCATCTGCTGCCACGGAGACTTGGCAATAAATCCTAATAAGCCTCCAGACCACAGCTAAATACATGACAAGAAAAGTTCTGCACGGCACTTCAATTGATCTCATTCCCATTTATTTATTTTTTTCCCCAAGAGTTAGTCTGGCTCTGTCAATATGACTTTGTGTAGAACCTGCCTGAATTCTACATACTCAACAGTCAAGGTTAAAGGTTTGCAGGTGATTGTGTCTGTGCTACACACCCCATGGCTCAGTTGGTGTTAGGTTTTCCTTGGTTTTGAATTCTCAAAGTTATTTGATAGAGAAACTTCAGTCAAGTATTTGCAATAGGTGTTCATATACTCCTGACGAGTCAACACATTTGTCATTGAAATTTGGTTTACCTGAAATGTAAGGATTTGTTCTTTTGTGCAGGTAGACACAAATGCTCTCTGTTTCCCTAGATGGACGGAGTGTCACTCCACAGATCTCACTGGAAGGTTGTTAAATAACAAGTCCAGGCATAGCAGTGAGCACTGTTCTGGGTGGCCCTGCTCCTCCTTCAGGACCAAAAAACTTGTTTCTCCAGTTGCCAAGGGACACCCCTCAGCATTAAACCCTCTTAAAGTGTTGCCTTGGCTGAAGAGCCTCTTTGTCCAGTGTCACTTCTCCCTTCCCTTCTCCACACCATGACTGGTCAAGGCAAGGACAAGACCCCCCTCCCAACTAGGAGCAACTTGGAAGGGACACACCGATTTGAGAACTTGGTCTAGAGGTCATCAGACTACATGATATCTACCTCTGTGCGCTTCTGCTCTCTTCCCTTCCTTTCCTCATAATCTCATCCTGCGAGGATTCCCCAGGAGACTCCCTGCATGCTAACCTCTGCCTCAGAGACTTCTTTCCAGGACCCACCTGCCACAGGCTCCTTATCTCTCTCTTTCTAAGCCACTGAAAACGCAAGACTGAAAGTTCACGTCTCAATGTGTTTAATTATTCTGGAAAAAAATTTAATCTAAGGGATAGAATCATCATCATATTTCTTTGCATATTTGGTTGTCTTTCTATTATCTTTTCTCTCACTGAATTTTGAACTCCTTGAGGGAAGTTAATTGTTTGCTAGAGATGATAGAAATCATTTGCATGATGTTGTAGGTTGGAGATCTTTCCCCTCCAAGCCACCTCTGTTGCAATGGGCTGAGGTGTTTTCATACCAACACTGATTTTACTGTGAACTATGGCAGATATCAGCCTTTCCTTGCTCTTAAGTGTGGCTTGTTTTTCTTCCCTAATAATATAGCTTTGCCCTTGTCCCAGGTCTACTGTTTCTTGTCACTTTTTAAAATTGTTGAATTTTTTAGAAAAATGAAAACTAGTACTATCAAAGCTGCTATTGAATGCCAACTTGTAAAGTTACTATTTTTTATCTCATTTTGGTCTTCCTGGACTCAGCAAATAGTTGTTGGGTGTCTGTTCCCTGTAAAGTACCCTGCTGGTAAATCTCGTTTAACAGGGTCTACAGGCCGAGTCAGGATCCTTGCAATGCACTTTTTGAATGCCTTATACATTCCTTGGAAGGTAGCTCTGATCATAATTGAAATTGGATGATACATTATGTGATTGCTTGTTGATCATCTGTTCCTCTTGATAGAAGTATCAGGAAAGCAGGAAGCATGTTCTACTTAGCCCATTCTATCCCCTAAGCTTCCTATCAGTATTTAAAGATTGTTGGGTGAAGGAGGACATGTTATCAAAGGAAGCTGAGAAGTAGTAGTCACCAAGGAAGGAAAATTAGACTGCCTGTGTTACAAAGACCCCAGGCAAAATTGTCCCTTCCAATTTTGTTATGTGTTGCTCTGTCTTTGAATATGAAGATTTAGCTCATTAGTGACTTTATGGTGCCCTATTTCAATGAAGGAGCCCAATCATCTGTCCCCTCTGTGCCTGCATCCAACAGAGGAGCATTGCCAAGAAAAGTCCTTCCACCCATCTCATTTGTCAACCATCCCTAATACTCCCTGGAAACATCACTAGCTTTCCAAGAAGCTTTCTTTCTAGCACCATGCTACCCATTTCACACCTTCCCCGTTGTCCAAACTGCTCATTCCTTCTTTCTCCTCTCCAAAGAGAAAGTCACGGCCACTAGACTGGTCTCTCTACTTTTCTCCCATCACCTAATGCAACTAATGGGCCTGCACTGTACCCTACCTCATCTCTCCTAGAGAAATTGTCTTTATCTATAAAAGGCCAATCTGTGCATCTTTGATCTGGACCCTACTTCCTTCTGACTTCTGAGAGATCACAGGGCCTTTGCCAGTTGCCTCACTTTCCTGTATTTTCAACCTCTTTTGAGATCATTTTCAGATGCATTCATAGATGGTTCAGCACCTCTCATCCTTAAAAAGCAAGAAATCACAACGAAGACAACACCACCAGTACCATCACCAACAACAAAACTCCTTACCTTGGCCTCCCTATCCCAGTTATTGCCTTCTCTCTGTCTCCACCAGTCACATACTATAATACACATATGATCTACATTTCTTCATTTCCTATATATCTAAAAACAGTTTTATTAAAATATAATTCATATACCGTATAATTCACCCATTAAAACTTTACAATCCATTGCTTTTTTCTTTTTGTATATTCAAAACATTGTGCAACCATAAATGCCATCGATTTTATTTATTTTTACTGTGCTGGGGATTGAACCCAGGGCTGCATGCTGCATGCATGTCGGATAAGCACTCTACCACTGAGCTACATCCCCAGCTCAACACCATCAATTTTAGACCAAGTTCATTATACCAAAAAGAAACCCAGTACCCATTGGCAGTCACTCCCCACTTTCCCTTCAATCCTCCTCTCTACCCCCAGCCCACAATAGCCACAAATCTAGTTTCTATCTCTAAGGTTTGACTATTTTGGACATTTAATATAAATGGAATTATAAAATATGTTCTCTTTGTGACTAACTTCAGTCACTTAGCATAATGTTTCAAGAGTTATCTTTATTGTAACATGTACCAGTATTTCTTTTCTTTTACTGCCCAGTAATATTCCACCATAGGGCTATATCACACTATATTTATGTGTTCATCAGTTGGCAGACATTTGTATTGTTTCTATTTTTGGCCTGTTATGAATTTGCTGCTATGAGTGTCTATGTACAAGCTTCATGTGGGCATGTTTTCATTTCTTCTGATTATATGCCTAATAGCAAAATGCAGAATGATAGGGAACTTTATATTTAATCTTTTGAGGAACTGACAGGTTGTGTTACAAAGAGCTATATCTTTTACAATCCTAGCAGTAGTGGATGAAGTGCCAATTTTTCTACATCCTCACTAGCATTTATTATTATCTCTCTTTTTGATAGTGGATGTGAAATGGTGTTTGAGGTTTTTGTTGAATTTTCCTGATGGCTAGTGATGTTGAGTTTCTTTTCATGTGTTTATTAGCCATTTGTAAATCTCTGGAAAAGTGTCTATCCATTTTTTAAAAATACAATTATTTGTTTTTCTATCATTAACTTGTAATAATATATTATAGATATAAGTTCCTTGTAAGATACATAATATTTGCAAATATTTTTCATAGAAAATATTTTCTATTTCCCCAGTGGAAAATATTTGCAAACATTTTCTCCATTCTGTAGGCTTTTGTCTCATTTTCCTCCTTTAGTTTTCCAGTGTTGGGACTGGAACCCAGGGCCTTGTGCATGCTAGACAAGTGCTCTACCACTGAGCGACATCCACAGCCCTTCTTTCAAGTTTCTTGATAGTGTCCTTTGAAGTGCAAAAGTTTTTTCACTTTGATGAAGAGAGATATAATAGCTTCTCTGATTCTTGTTGGAGGCTCAGGTGAAGTTGGCAATTATGCACTGACACTGGTATCAATGTGCTCTACCATGTCATTCAAGTTACTCGTCAAAATCATACCAACTGAATAAGGTTTAAGGGCAGTCAGATCATTCCAGAGGTTGGTATTCCAAAAATATCTCAAACTAACTGTGACTCTCCAGCTTTGTAGAGCATAGAACCCTGAGAGACCAAGAATGGCCCCAAATGACCTCTGAACGAACCCAGAGAGATTCCTATGCATCATGCTTATTCCTGAAGATCTTTAATCACACCCTTCACTGTGGTGTGTGTGTGTGTGTGTGTGTGTGTGTGTGTTCATCAGTATTAAGTTTTGAATTTAAATCACTTACAATCAACTTAAAAAAGAAACAACAACCTCAGCATCATGAGAAAAGATTTCCATGTGAGAAATGTGAGATGAAATGCAGAAGTATGAATCTTTCCTCTCTGTCCCATCCACTTGTTGACCCCATGGAAAGAGCTATCAGCTTGCTCAGATTTCAGTCTCTAACACATCATTTTGAGTTATGTTGGCCACCTGGAACCGAAAGTAACAAGAAAGGAAGAAACTAGAACAGCAGTTCAGCACTGTCCAAAAAAACATGCTCCCTGCTGGTTGTGGTAAAGGTCAGGAGAGGGGAATCTGGCAGTCTGTCAAGTAGAGGAAGCTTCTGAGCTGTAGGAAGCCAAGCAAAGAGATAGTCTGGGGGATGAAAAGTCCTGAGCCCCATGAAACCCAGGCTTCCACTGAGAAGATGTAATGGCTATAAGTAACAGAGCTTTTCTGAGAATCTTAAAAGAATATTATCATTCTTTTTCTCTCTTTTTTTTAAGTCACTACTATTAGATCCATGTGAAATATGTGTTAATTCTATTAGTATTGGTTCGTTTTTTTGGTTTTAATGACATCTACTGGAGATAGAAATAGAGAAGATAATGCAAGTAACGTGACATCTGGTTAAGGAATTGAGGGTGTGTAGGGATTACTTGCATGTATACCTGGATGTTAGATGGATGTGGATGGAGAAAGTTGGTGATCTGACACTTATTAAATGACAAAATATTGTCATGCTTGTAGAATAGCTAATGTCTCAAGCACCCTGCTACCTCAAACTTCCCTGCACCTCTTCATTCACATTCCAGCAGCTCGGGGGTTAATACCAGCAGTGGGCTTCTAGAACTCCAAACCCCACACTAAGATCTCTACTTGGATTGTTTAATAGCCTATACCATATTGGTTGTTAACTGTCCTAATGTCACTCTATTCATAGATGTGTGTTGCACGGAATTACCTGCATCCTATGAATTCTTTGATGATGAATTATCTGCATCAGGATCACCTAAGGCACTTGTCAAAAATGCAGATACTTGAGTCCTGAATCCTGGACTCTCTGCATCTCTAAAAGAGCAAGCACTTACATTTTTAACTATATCTCAGGTGATTCCAGAACATCTTATCAAATATAGTCTGCATTTTCTGGCATAGAGCCAACCATAGAGCCATGCCTTCCATGTAGTTGCCAAATTCTTTCAAGGGAGAATCCAAAGTTCTAAAACTCTTGGTATTCACCACTATGCTTAGCCTAGTGCTTGTTGATGGGCAATAAAGAGGAAGGACCGTTGATTGAGAGTGTATGCAGAAAAGATAAATTAAGTTTGATGATGATGGTGGTGGGAGTGGCAACCAATCCCTATGAGTGCATACTGTGTGCCAGGTGCTATAAATCCCTCAGATGGATTAACTAATTGAATCCACACAATAACCCTAATAGGTAGTGCTATTATCTCCATTTTATGACCAAGGAATCTAAAACCCAGAGAGACAAAGGGAACTTCCCAAAATCTCATTGTTGGGAGGAAACAGGACTCTAGTGTTGGCTTATCAGACTTCAAAGCCTATCCTCCTTTGTATTTACTAAGCCATATTGGCTCTTAGATTATAAAACAATTCTATACATAATTTGTAAATCAGATTCTTTGGACTTAATCTCTTCAATTAGCTTTCTTTTTAAATTTTTTCATTTCATTACATAAGTGGAGGGGAAGTAGGCATGAAAGATGAAGAGGTTCTAAAAACTATACTCTGACTTGCAGGAGCAAAGATGGAAGAAATGGAATAGAGAGAGCGGAAAGTGTATATAAATATTGTCCAATATGTAGGAACAATTAGAAACCTTTATGTTAAATAAAAATAAGATAAAAATTATAAAGCATTAATTAAAAAAAGAACTTTGCATCTGTCACTAGAACTTGAAAGTCAAGTTAAGAAGATAAAGGGATTTTGAGGCTATAGCTAGAGAATAAATAGTAAGGAAAGGGAGACAAGATGAGAACCCATTGTGGAGAAATAATGAGGGAACTGTGATTTTATGTAAAGATCATCAAGGGGCCAGTTGATGCCTGGACTTGACAATGGCCAAGACAAGCAGTATGGATGTGGGGAAATTAGGGCAGCTCAGAAGAGGCAGTGGATTGAAAAGATAACTGGGCTTTATGTGCGTTCAGATTTGTTTTGAAGTACCCTGCCGGGAAGCTGGGATTAATGAGATCACAGAGTATTATAATTTGATTCTGGTTAAAGCATCCTTATGTACTGAGCTTAATGAAGAATGGCTAATTAACATCTTTTTGAATGTAAGGGGGGAAAAAGGAATATACATCTGAATTGTTTTTTCCAAGGCAAAAAACAAGCCCCAAATCAAGATCGGGATTAATGGAATCAGGGTGCTTATTCAGACTTCAATACATCAATGCTGGTGCTTTTCTTTAGATACACATGCTTTCTAATCATCCTTGATTCATTCATGACATACAGAGAAGACTAGATTTATTCTTACTGGGATCTGGGCAAAATCCCCACTTCTCATCTCTTTCGTATCGGCTTGTGGTGGCACACCACAGCAAGTCATCTTCCCGGCCTTCCCGGGTGCATTCGTGAAACCACTGATGGTTATACTGGAAGGGAAACATGCATGGCATCCCATGGGCATTCCCTTTGATTGTATACATGTCTAGGAGAAAAAAAAATGACAAAGTCTGATAAATACAGTATTAGCATCATCTCCGCACACTGTCATCTTGTTATGCATTTTTATCAACTGAAATCCTCCTAGCTGCAGGCACTAACTAACCCTCCTGAGCCCCCGGGTCCTTATTGTCCAGTGACTGTAGAAGAGCCAGTTCCAGGCCTGGGTTCAGAGGAAGAACTGTTAAATGGTTTGCTTGTACATTCACCCACTTGTTTATTTACTACAATGGGTTGCTACGGTAGCACAGAACTTGTGAATGGATGAAAAGGAAAATTTAATGAAGATTTTACTTCAAAGTATCCGCCAGTTCCCCAATACACCAGTGTTGGTATTTAAACCTCAATGGTTTCATAGAAATTTATTAATTTATTCATTCAATAAATATTTGGTGAGCATTTAATGTACCTTGCACTGGGGATATCTTAGTGAACAAAACAGAAAAATTCCTTTTCATGAGGAGTTTCTGCTTTAGTGGGGAGAGACAAAGGGAAAGCAAAGAAACAAACATATGATAATTTCAGGTCATGGTAAGTGCCATGAAGATAAATAAAATGGGGTAAGAAGACTGTGCAAGCATGCGCAAATCTGCGTGCATGAATGTGTGTGTGTGTGTGTGTGTGTGTATGTACCAATGTAAAGTCTTCCTGAATAAGAACTGGGTAAAATGGGGGTGTTAATTGTGGAAATATTTGTGCCAGCAAAAGGAACAACAAATGTAAAGGTGTAGAGAAAGGAGTGTGTGGGGTGAATGAAGAAGAGCAAGGCGGCTCAGGGGAAGGGGTTGCAGTGAAGTCCTGGAGTGTCTGCTCCCGTAGGACTATCTGCCATGTTACTAAGGACTTTGACTTTTATTCTGAGGGTGGTGGAGAGTATGGTGAAATGTCACAGGCAAGTTTTGTAAGGGAAAGCGACAAGATTAGATTTCCATTTTTAATTTATTTTTATTTATTTGTTTATTTTATTTTTTACTGGGGATTGAATTCAGGGGCACTCAACCACTGAGCCACATCCCCAGCCCCCTCTTTTTTGGTATTTTATTTAGAGACAGTGTCTCATGAGTTTCTTAGGCCCTCGCTAATTTTCTGGGGCTGGCTCTGAACTCACTATCCTCCTGCCTCAGCCTTCTGAGCTGCTGGGACAGATTTCCATTTTTAAAGAATCTCTGGGTGCAGTGTGGCAACCAGCCTAAATGGAGAGAGAGTGATGGAGGCCCATTGGCTAGAAAGATGACCATACAGATGTGGTCTGCTGGCTGTGTTCTCAATACACTGCAATCATCCACCATCCTTTGAGTTAAGAAGGAATCAACAAAAACTTCATGACTCAGCTGGGGCTTCCTATGGTAAGGGGCATTAAGGCCACCCTTAATTTAGTCAACAGGTCCTGGGCAAAAGGGTCAGCTATGGAGATTCCCATCCCTTTCCCACAGTTGGCAGGGGCTAGACTGAGCTCACAGCACACCACCAGCCTTAGCAGTTACGTCTGTTAGGAGCCAGAGGCATTTTAGGACACAATGCTTTGGTTTCAATCCCCTGCCTTCTACTCAGAAGCATATATTGCTGGGTCTTCCCCTGTGTGCACGTGAGTTTGGGTATATGGCTAAAATACTGAAGTAAAATATTGAGTTCTTCTTTAGAACTATGGCATTTTGAGTGCTGATTTGTAGCACTTGCTTTATTGTATGTAGGAAGCCCTGAAAATGTCTTGCTCTTAGTTCTCTGTTTACTCATTCTTTGAAGCCCAGGAGATGATCTCACCTTGGGCCTTAGGAGTTCCATTCTCTGCTTCCACGGATGTTCTAGAGTCCTTCAGAGGACATGGTTTTATTGAGGCATAATTCTGCAGAGCACCATAAGGGGAGGCACCAAATCTGCTTTATTGGCTTTTGTAAACCAGGCGCCTAACACTGTGCTGAAGAATAGTTAGCACTTAACAAGTGTGTACAGGATAGATGGACGGATGGACAGGTGGATGGAGAAAGCTACAAAAGAAACAAACCCTGAGGGAAATAATTTAACTATGTGACTTTTTTGTTTTCTGTTTTAAAATGCCAAAAATAATAGAACTATAGAAGATATAAGTCCCCTGATAAATTGTGCCTCCTCACAGACCATGCTTGGTACACACAAAATAGAATGTCATTTATCATCCAGTATCTTTAGCATGACTGTTTCCTAAATACTGCATACCATCCCATGTGCACTTTGATTTAAAACATTTTTACCTTTGTGAAGATGTTCACAAATGTCCCCACCATCGGACATGTAGGAAATCCACTTATGGAGATGTTTCCTTGAGGCCACAACCATGTCGTCCTGCTTCACCTGCACCATGTACTGGAGCGGGCCGGTGATCATCTTCCTGTTACAGCGCCACCTCAAGGAAACGTAGGTGGCATCACATTCATATATGCTTAGTGGCTGCTCTGGATTAGATAAATTCAGGCCCAGGCAACCACTCCCTCCTACGTTAAAGAGGTGGTGGTTTGAAACCCATTTCCACAGCATGTACTTGTTTGGCTGTTTGCAGTTCTCCAGGGTCAGTGCAGATTTACCTGCTTGAATGCATTTCTTAAGACTCTCACTTTGGATAATGAATATTCCTTTATCTGTAACAAAAAATAAAAGATGTGGTATGTGACTTTCTTATGTAATTAACTAGTGCCACAAGGATCCCGTGTGCATATCTAAGCTGTGCTAGGTTGTAGCTGCTAGCCATTCCACATAGATCTGGAGCTGATGGGTAGGGTCTACTTGAAGGGCTTTCTTTGCATAAAACAGGAGGTTTTTGGGAGGGAAATATAAAGGACTTATTGGAGATAATGGAGACCTCTGATCTAAGACTCCCTTGGCCATAGAAGAACATAACTACCTGTCAATCATTTGGTGATACTGATGAGAGAAAGCACTCACCACAACTGGACAGAAAGTGATAATAATCAGAACAAGGGGGAGGGGCATTGGGTGTCCAGATATGTGGTGATACTTTAGGTTTTCTTCAAAGGCATGCCTGGATGTTAAGAACATGACAGCTGAGTTACTGAAATGAAAATCTCTACCACCAAGAGGATATAGGAAAGTGCTAGATAATTCCCCATGCTGGTGAAAAAACAATGCTTCTTAACATTTGCTTTCTGTGCTGGATCCATCAGGAGTAGAAAAGTGGCAACATTTTGCTTTGTTAGGAGTAGCCTGGTTGCATGGGACTATCAGCAGCAGGTAAACAGGACACTAGCTAATGCTCCATACCTAGATAAAAGACAGGTGGCTAGAACATCATGACAGTGGTAGAAACCAGAGGCCACATTGCCACGTGGAGGAAGTAGACATTTTGTGACATAGTCCTGAACTCTTCCCTCTGGAGCCAGAAGAAGGGATCTGGGTGAGTTTCCTGTGCAAAAGCTAGTGGGACCCGGCCAGGGAATATGCTAGCTCCTGCCTATTACCTGACTTAAGCTGCTGACTGGAAGTCGCCAATTGCACAATCATCATGGCTGTGTTTTCTCACAGATTTTTTTTTGTTTTCATTTTTTGAAGATGACAATCATGTCCAAGCACAGAGTATCCTGAACACAATGTCAAAGTTCAGTAAGTGCTCAATATTGACTGAACTTGCCAGTAGCTGCTGATGAGGCCCATGAATGCTGAAGCTCCCTTCTGCTCTGAAAGTCTGATCAGGGCTCTTTTGCTCTCCCCTCAGCTAAGCTCCTGTCTTAGACTTTACTTCCTGTCTGTCCTTCAGAGTTCCCAAGGCACATAGTTAGGTTCCTTTACAATGGCCAAGGTTTAGGGAGAGTTTTGTCATGCAGCAGGGGCAAGATACAGCTTTCAAGAGATTTGAAACAGTGCAGAATGAACCTCCTCATGTCTGGGCATAAGGGAAAAATGCTTCACTTTTGGTAAAGTTCTTTGGTTTCTCCAAAATTAACCTGACCAAAGAGAACTGATTTATGGTAACAAAAATTACTTAAGACACCATTAAAAAAATTGCCAATGTATTAATGAAAGCCATACCTCATTTAATAATTGATAACCTTTCTTATAGCCATGTGTTTGAGAAGTTAAATTAGTTGTCAAAAAATTGCTTTGATCACCATACATCAGAGCAAAAGAGAAGGGAGTGGCAGTGGCCGTGGTGGGTTAGTGAGAGAATAAATGGTTTTAAGGAGATTTCATTTAGATCAGGAAATTTGTTTTCCTAATGAAGGCCACGTCTGTATGGTTATTAGTAATAGTCATTCAAAATCTAATCCACCTTTCATCAACGTGATATGGACTCTGATAATTAACCTTCCTTCCAACCCTCCTTTTCACCTTTTCATGCCTGGGTAGAATGTTAACTTTAATTTCTGTTGTAATCTACTAATTACTTTCTAGCTAGCTCAGAGTTCCATTAATTTTTCATTAAAGGATAATTATTTTACTATGATGGCACCATAGCCATGTATATTTATACATTCAAATATCTCCAGATCTGGGCCTCACCCCTTAATATACCTAACTTAGGTAGGTAGAATAGCTGGTCAGTGGCTAAGAGCTATGGAGACTAGAACTGGGCAGATTCCTTGATCTCTGAAAGCAATGCCTTTCCAAAGCAGAAGATATGAGACAAACCCAGTCCATGCTTCCTAATTTTGGGGTACCATTACAATTCCATGCCAGGTGCCTGTAGGATGCAGCTTTGGAAAAGTTCTTCAGAATGTTTCATAAACAAGCACCTGGGGATTGCCTCTAAAAATAAACAGGCTACCTCCAAATATGTTAAGCTAATAAATGACCTGAGCCTATTTCCCATGAAGTTATAATAAAATCTGATCCTAAGCACTTCATAAATCCACTAAAGATAAGGGTGTTTCAAATAGACTGTGAGGAGACCCACTATAGGAATCAATATTCTGATTATTACTATATGCACATGAGTTGTCTCTAACAAAACTATAATGTGGAAATGGGCCACTAATCCTTAGTGTGTATAGTTGCTGGGTTTCAAAAAGGATGAAAATCAAATGTGGGAGGAATCAAGATTGATTATATATGTCAAGGACATCAGTTCTGCTTGAACACTGATTAAGTGATTAATGAAGTACTGCCAGAATTACTAAATCTCTTTGCAGGAAAATGTTATTATGCTTCCCTTCATAATTATAAGTTTAGGAGGAGAAGAAGAAGGATTGATTTACTAGAAGTAACTTATAAGCTAATTTCCATCCTTTAAAAAAAATCATGGGAGTTAGTGCTCCTACTTTCTACTTCTGAGCTCCTTCTAGTGGAAACCATAGATAACATACCGTAAGATAACACACACTCTTCTGAGGAGTGGGCTAAGAACGTTTCTTTGGGCAACTGTTAAACTTAAGTTTAGGAAATTTCTTTTATGACATTATTTCAATAAAATATTTCCTTCATTAATTAATTCATTCCATAAGCATTCACTATATATGGTGTTAGATATAGAGAAATTATTTGCCTAAATATCTGTCCTTTGAAACTGTATCTATTTGTTCTGAAACCATGGAAATTTTCCTATTTAATAAAAAGAAGGAAGTTCCGTTTGTTCTAAAGGAAATACTATAATTACAACTCAAGATAAGCCCTTTAAAAACAAGTGATAAAAGTCATGATCAAGAAAACAGACCAGAATTAAAGACATCTTACTGGACCCTCTGCTGATGTCATGTAAGAGGTGGACAGGGCTCCTTTCTGCGTGGGAAGTGTACACACGTTTTCCAGGGAGGACAAGACCGAACAGTGCTGAGGAAGGAATATGGGTGTGGAGACTCACTTTACCCATAAACTCAGAACCATGAGCTTCAGAGCTGGATGGGACTATAAAGATTATTTAATTGAATCATTCTTTTACTTTCATCAAATCCATTTTGTCCTAGAAGCTTTAGACTCGTATAAGTGAGGACCATGTTCAGTCCAGACATAGCTGTATTGACATGCACTCATTTGTAAGCTAGAAAGAAGAAAATGGAACTAGTATAGATTGTTGTTGAATATTTTGAAGTAGGAGACTTGAAATTTCAAACCGCCAACATGTATTGGGTACCTAATACTGCATGTGCTGGACCCCGGCAGGTGGAGGGGGCTGTGTTGCAATGCATGCCCTCCAGCCACCCATGTTCTCCCCAGCAATCACTGAAATGTATGGAAGAAATTATAACTCAGTGCCAAAATGTATTTTGACTAAGAGATAAAAGCACAACGGGGTGGAAGTAAAGGGTAAAAGGCAGTAGTTGAGTGTAGAACCGAGAATCCACCAACTGCCTCGTATTTTCATCCCACAAACACTTACCAGGGACCTAATGTTTGTAACAACAGGGGTGCACTCATGAACAAGACAGGCAAAGATCCCTGTCCTTGTCACAGTGGTCAGGAGAGTGGGGGAGTGTCAATCTCTAGAAGGAGGGGCGAGAAATCATGCAGAGGAGACATTCTGCACAGAGAATGTCACCAACGCCGATAAATGATGCAAATAATCAGCTCCTGGGTGATGACAATCTGGGGAATGAAGGGAAGAGAAGAGGGATGGGAACAGGAGGGACAGAGGAATGAATCTAACATGACTTTTCTACATACATATATGAGTACACCACAATGAATCTCCACATCAGGTACAACCATAAGACTTTGATCCTAATTAGAGTAAGATATACTCCATGTTTGTATAAATATGTCAAAATATATACTGTCATGTATATCTAAAATAAATACTCCATGTTTGTATAAATATGTCAAAATATATACTGTCATGTATATCTAAAATAAATAACATAAAAATTTAAAAAGATATTGACTGTAGTAAAATGTGAAGTCAGAAAGAGGTAGTTTGGGATCATTTTATGAAGAACTTGAATTTTGATGGGGGGGTACCAGGGATTGAACTCAGGGGCACTTGACCACTGAGCCACACCCCCAGCCCTATTTTGTATTTTATTTACAGACAGGGTCTCACTGAGTTGCTTAGCCCCTCACTTTGGCTGAGGCTGGCTTTGAACTGGCGATCTCCTCTCTCAGCCTCCCAAGCCTCTGGGATTACAGGCGTGCACCACTGTGCCCAGCAAAAACTTGAATTTTATTCAAAAATTTGTATATTCTTCTTCAGGTGAAAGGGAGCTTTGGGACAAGACATGACTGAGGCTGTGGTGTAAAAGATGAATCAGGGTGGGGAGTCATTCAACAAAAACATTACTGAGCACCTACTATGTGCCCAGCATTGTTTTAGGTGCCAAGACAATCAAAGAAGAATGACTAAGCTCCTGCCCCAGAGGAGTTCTAAATTAGGTGGGAGGAGATGGCACCCTAGCACACTTGGGGAAGAGTCTGGAGACTATTGCTGTGATCCACCTGGAGAGACTAAAGGCGTCAGGGCATTAGTGATGCAAAGAACAGGAGAGAGCAGTTAGACCTAGCCAATAGGGAGACATCACATACAGGGAAGAGGTGAGTGGATTAGGTGATGGGTAGAGTGGGATATGCTATGGTTGGGACATGGTGTGAGTGTGTCCAAGGGTTCATGTGTTGGGCGCTTGGTTCTCAGTGTGGCAATGTGATAGGATTTTTAAGAAATGAGGCCTAGTGGGAAGTAATGAAGTCACGGAGGGTG